ATTTGTTTTTCAGATTTTGTCTTTTTTGTGAATTTCAAAAGCCTGAATTTGAAAGTTAGAAGCCACATATTGAATCTTGTTCTCTGTGTTCTGCTGCGTGTTTTTCTCTTTCCTGTCTCCTATCTCACTGAATTGGTATGAGGATCTTGTGTGGAAAGGACAAGGAAATACATCTGGGTTAAGAAACCACAATTATTATTTCCAGAAGGTATTCTGGTACATCTGTAATACCACCGTCTTTTTCAGATAATGTGAATGAGAGCTGCATGTCTTTTGAGAAATGGAAAGTCCAGGGTAAATCATATTACTTTGTGTTAATAAAATCCAACTGTAAGGAACTTTACTGAGGACAAAGACAGGCATCTTTGAAGGGCAGCCTTACCTTACCTTTATTTCATCAACCTTGAAAGATTGTTTCGGGAATGAGAGATTTAGTTTATATATGAGAGAACTTTACTTTTTACTTGTGGTACTACCAACAAGCTGCTTCAAGAAGATGAAGTTGAGAGTTGAAGTTGGATAGCTCAAGCTATTATAAAAATTTTATTAACACATATAATTTATTTGTTCATCTCATTTTAACACATGTAAGTTAAACTTTATTCAAATCTAGGCTGCAGTGAACTGTACACAAAAGATATCTTAGGAATATTTAAAAGTAATTGTCAGGTAACAGTACCTTTAAAATTACTTCTAATGTGGGATATGTTGGCGTTTCTGTTTTCTTGTTAGAAACTAACATTCTCTACCCTGTATAGAATGGGGTAGAATGTCTTTTCTTTGTTCCCCTTCTTTTTACTACCCAGATTTTCATATTTAGCAGAATAAACTATGAAATATGTGAAATCTCATATTAAAGTAAAAATCTGAATCATTTTAGCCAGTTCATGACTTTTAAATTGAAAACAAATTGAGTTCACATTCAAGAAGATATTTTTCAATTGTCTGTATATGTAATAACCCCTTACAATGAGTAAGAAATAGGATAAAAGGAAACCTATTTCTTAAAACCTGTTTCATGTTTAAGTCAGGTTAAAAATATCTCCCTGGAGATTCCATTTAATTGTATTTATCAGAGTCATAGAATTATTCCAATCATCCCTATCTCAGAAAAAAATTATTTTAGCTATAATCTAAGCCATTTTGAAAGAATGAGTCACAAAAGGACCCAAACTTCTTTTATTTCTAAAGGGGCCACAGTGAACCTTTGTTAGTGGGCACTCCCTCAAAACCAAAAATACCCATCTGTATTTCCCTCTACACTATACTTTTTTCAAACACAGCTGCTATGTCAGGTAGAAATAAATAGATATGAGGGTACAGACTGACCTTCCAAAAGTCTGGAGGAGGAGGAAGAAAGAGCTTAGTGTATTTAAAACTTTGAGTATAAAATTTAGAGCATATGTTTTATGTAAATGAACATGTGTCATTGCAGGGATTGGACCTTTTAAGCCCTTGGCCAAGAATGATAAATTATTTATTCCAGGAATACTAATGGGAAAACAACTGAAATCAATATACTACTTTCCTTTTAGAAGCATTACACCTTTCTGAGGCAAACATTCAAATGTATTATATATAGAGATAAGGGAACCATGTTCTATCTAGTAGAAGCAGTTATACTTTATTAGTACAATGCTCAGTTTTTATTACAGTTGAAAATATTAGCCCCTTCTTTGTTAGTGGTTATTCCTTTGTTAGTGGTTAGTATGGTGGCTCTTAGTGCATTCCCCCAACACCTCCAATTGATTTGAGATAATCTCTTGCTCTGATCAAGACATTATGTATAGGAATTGGTGAAGTCCAAATTCTAGCTTTGCCACCTGATAGTTTTGTGGCGTGACTTTGATAATGATAGTTTCTTAATCTGTAAAACCAAAAGGGAATTAGTTAATTTATTATTTTTATTTATTTATTTTAAAGATATATTTATTTATTTGTACAAGCACTGGGTACAGTCAGAAGCGTGGGAGGGTGAGAGAATTCACCAGAGCCAGAGCGGGGAACAGAACAGGCAGAAGGACCGAAGTACACTGCTGAGGGGAGCAGCGGGCAGCAGGAGAGGTCTGCGTGCCATGTGGGACCCTCGCCGGTGGCAGGGGATCGAACCGGCGCTGCAGAGGCCGTGGGCAGCCTTGCAGCCCAGCGCTGAACCGCTGCGCGACCAGGGGAGACCCGAATGAGTTAATTCAAACTGTCAGATAGACTTCAAGAGTAGTTTCCTTAAAAGTCATTGAATAAGATGTGCAAATTTCTCATTTTATTTTTACAATATTTGTTCAAATATTTGTATACACTATATTAGATAATTATATTACCATTAAAGTGACATATTTCTAAATTATTTTTGGCATAAAACCTACATTACTGCTACATAATTTGAAAGTGTAATTTGTAATCACTTACGTTAAAATATTCTGTTTGAAATTATGTATGAGTTTTTCTAAGTGTTTAGGGCTTAAAAAATTTCACATGCTTCTTTGCTTATATGTCTTTGTAAGTTATAGGTTATATCAAATAGTTATTTAATATTTAAAGATGACTTGTGCAAGTTTGCTTAGCTCTCTAGAAATAGAATTGGGCCTTTTGGTAGCAGTTTGTTGCTTTTTTCACTTATATAATTGTTAGGTAGAACTTTATTTTGATAGTTCTGTTCACATCTTCTGTCTAGAAGAGTAATTTTCCTGTTTTCATATATATCAGTCTATAAGTGTAGTAGAAAATGAAAGTTCATTCTCTGCTTATTCTAGATAATAATTATCTTTCCAGAGATAATTATTAACATAGTTTCATACTTATTTGTTCACACTATTTTCTCTGTATAAGAATACATTTGACCATTAATTTTTGTTCTTGTGAGCATTTTTCTTAAACCAAAATGAAATTTACAGAATAATTTTCATATTATGCAGATCTGCATTTGATCTTTTAAAACTAATACATTTCTCTATCAGTATATGTTGATTTACCTTGTTATTGTTAGTTGCTGCAATATATGCCATTTCATAGATGTACATAATTTATTTAATTACCAGTAGATAAAACTTTTCTGTTGGTTTGACTTTTTTGGTGTTACAAGTAATGTTTCAATGAAATCTTAGTCTTTGTGTAACTGTAGAATCAATTCCTACAAATAGAAACATATTTTCATAACTTTTTTCAAATATTTCAAAATGGTTTATTAATCTTATTTAAAAGAAAGACTCAAATCTGATAATTTTTACCTATATTACCACAAATGTTTCCTGGCCAGCTTGTTTTCTTTACTCCAGATTGCTTTTCTGAGTAGTGTAAATTATCTTTCAGTATTTAGTGTTCACTTGATCTTTTTCTTTTTTTAAAGAATTATGTATAAAAATGTACTGTCAAATGGCTAGCTGTACTTCACATTTTGAAACCATAGCATAATTATTTCAAATTGCAATTTAAAATTCAGATCCTTTAGGAAATTTTCTTAGATTATTACAACCTACAGTCTCAGGATTTCCTTATAACTGATTAAATATAGGTAAGGCAACTAAAAATTTTTTTTAAAGATTTATTTATTTATTTATACATACAAGCACTGGGTACAGTCAGAAGCGCTGGAGGGTGAGAGAATTCAACAGAGCCAGAGTGGGGAGCAGAGCAGGCAGAAGGACTAAAGTACACTGCTGAGGGGAGCAGCGGGGCGGCAGGAGAGGTCGGTGCGGCAGAAGAGGTCTGCGCGCCATGTGGGACCCTCCCCCGGGGAGTAGCCGGGGATCGAATGGGCAGCTTCGCAACCCAGCGCTCAACCACTGTGCCACCGGGGAGGCCCTAAAATTGTTTTTATAGTATCACATTAGAACTTGGTCTTAAGATATAATTTGGATTAGGTATCCTCATCATGCACCTTGGAGCCAAGGACATTTTTCTTACTGTTTACTATTACCTAGAAAAATGCGTTTATAGTAAAGAAAATAATAAATATATTTAATTGTCTTTGGGCTGTCGAGACTTTAGATCTGGGGTTGAACCAAATCCTGTCTTACACTTGTTTCATAAATTGAGTGTTATTGGTACACTGGCATATCCATTCATTTTATATTTGTCTGTTACTTTTTTTGTGTTAGTGTGACAGAGTTGAGTAGTGCTATGAGTGCAAAGCCAAAGAGTAAATTATTTACTTCGTGGCTCTTTTGGTAATCACTCTTTTTTGGGTTGTAAGCACTTTGACATTAATTTCTTTTTGCTTTTTTTCTATAGCATGTTCTGTCCACTATGTGCATAATTTATAGGCTCATAAACTGCAGGGAAATAAAGGAACTTGCTGGGTTGGCAAGTATCTGTGTTTTTAAAGTTGGCAGCTTTTGCCTTCCCAAAGGGGTTATACCAGTTTTTACTTAAAATAATACTTTTGTGGCAGAACCTCTTTCCCTGTAACATTGGCAGCTCAGTGTATTAGTGAACCTTTTAAACCTTTCGGTCTTTACCGACGTGATAAAGGAAAGTAATATTGTAGGTTTGATTTGAATTTCTTTTATGTAAATTTCTTTTTTGTGTGTTAGATTTAACTTCTTTTCAAATTTTAGAGCCATATATATATTCTTTTTTGTGAATTATCTCTCAATTCCTTTAATTCTGTTACTTTCATATGAAGTATACAGGGAACACATGTTAAAGATTTAACTTTGGAGAGGAGATCAGCGTGATTAGAGCCATGCTTTAGAGGAGAATGTGTAAGGCTGAAATGTATGTAGTCAGTGAAAGAGAGAATTTTCTTAGGTGACAAAAACAAACACTACAGTTCCAAGGACTCTCTTTTCTACTTGACAGATGACTTTGAAAAGGACATGCCATAATCTTTTTGCCTTATTTCCAAGTTTTAGATAATTTTTCTTAATACTTTCCTGTATGTTATTGCCATTGTTTCAAGTGATACTATTTCCTTATGAATTATTAATGAACTTCCAAGAAGGTCACATAATTCACCATTGTCTGTCATAAAATAAAATCATTGTTCCTTTTTTGCTTTGTAGGAACTCATTATACAATGACAAATGGAGGCAGCATTAACAGTTCTACTCACTTACTGGATCTTTTGGATGAACCAATTCCAGGTGTTGGTACATATGATGACTTCCATACTATTGATTGGGTACGAGAGAAATGTAAAGACAGAGAAAGGCACAGACGGGTAAGTATTTTGGTAATATTTTTGAATAGTACATAATTATATAACTTAATTATATTTTAATGATTTATTTAATGATATATTTCTGCTAGTGATCTCAGGTTGCCAAAATATGTTATATATTAAATAATATTTAAGTAAATTTCTATTTTTTATACATATGTTTTTTCTTTATGTGTTTTGTTTTTAGTTTATTTATGCCCCATATCATTCCAAAAAGGATTTGAAGTAACTGAAAATGAAAGAAATATGCTAAGACAAAATAGGAAGTCTAGGGAAAGCACCATACAGGACTTGGTGGAATGATCACGCTACCTTCAAAATTAGAAGGCATGATTTTAGGCTTTGAACAGCCTAGCAGCTATGGCATAAGACACAGTACATGAAATCATTATTCTGCATAGTGATTCTCAAACACTTTTGTCTCAAATCCCCTGTAAACCCTAAATAATTTCTGAAGATGCCTAATGAACTTTAGTTTATGTGGTTACATTAATTGATATTTATCATAACAGAATTAAAATTGAGAAATTTAAAAGATTATTAATTCACTTGAAAAATTACACTGTTAAACTCATTACATGTTACCATAACATTTTTATAAAAATAGGTGCATTTTGTAAAATAAAAATGTTTTATGAGGGAGTAACCTTGTTAAATTATATGTCTATTGTCTGATTTGATAGGACTCCTGATTTTCTGTATCTGCTTCTGCATTCTGTCAGTAATTTATTGTTTTGATTGAAGTATATGAAGAAAATCTAACCTCACACAGATAGGCAGTTGGAAAATCTAGGAATATTTAAATAACCGTTTTAGATTATTGTGTATATTTGATAATGCACTAAAATGACAAGTGAAATTTTCTTAAATGTTAGTTGTTGTGTGCAAATGAAACTGTATCATTGAACTTTTTGTCTTCTGTTACATTAAAATCCATTGTTTTAACCTTTTTTTTTTTTATTGAGTTAACGTTGATTTACAACATTGTATAGAATTTAGAGATATAGGGTCACACCCTTCAGGTATATTTTTATCTTGAACTTTGTATGTTTTTATATCATGCAATGATCATTTGCAAAATATTGATTCACTGCTTTATGCAAGTCTTTCAATTGTTTTAACTTTCCATTATACAATGTTATTACATAGTTATTTTAAAATCCCATTTGTTGGGGCCTCCCCTGTGGCCCAGGCTGTTGAGTGCAGTGCTGTGAAGCTGTCCACAGCCTCTGCAGCACAGGTTCAATCCTGGCCAGCCAGTGTGATACCCACATGGCGCGGCAGACCTCTCCTGTCTTGTTTGCTGCTCCCCTCAGCAGTGTATTTCAGTCAGTCTGCCTGTTCTGTTCCCCACTCTGTCTGTGGTGAATCCTCTCACCCTCTCACACATCTGGCCTGTACCCCGGTTCTAGTATGCATAAATAATTAAAATCTTTAAAAAAAGTAATAAAAATAAAAATCCCATTTGTTAATATCAACACTGATCTCTTTCTAAAAAGTCTTTTAAGTATTGGGAATCTGTCATCCTTAGAGCGATGGATACAAGCTTTTCAGAATTCCAATTTCACTTAAAAGCTCAAATTCTATCATTGGAAACAAATACATGTTTATTTTACTTAAGATGACAGGCTTGCATTTAACTATACTTGATGTGTCTTATTCCCCACAAATATCCTTATTGATGCCTATGTTATTCCATTTTTGACTAGTGGGAGTTTATTTAGATGGGTGTCTATAGCCTTAGACATAGTTGCCTTTGTGTATTCTGTAAAAACAAAATGACCTTAGTTTATCTTACTCATTTTCTACACCAAACCTGGAGTAAGCCATTTCTTCAAGGAGCTTGGTTTTTGAGAAAGAAAATGGTATATTGGTTGTCTAGGCTCTAGAAGCACTTACTGCTTCTGGGTTGTTTCTAGCCTATTAAATTGATAGGAATCTTCTAATTTATATTCAAAATGATAAGGCTTTTATTTAGCATCTAGTTCTAAATTCTGTACCTCCTTTCAGCCATGCCCCAAATCTCAATATCACATACATAATCATTTGATTTGCTTCACAATATGCATATTATTACCAGCACCATCACCAGCAATATGCTTATTGAAAAGATGTATGAAAATCATACATCTAGGATTGATTGTTTGTGGTAATAGAAAGAGTAAAATTATTTCATTCAACTTAGAACTTACTCAGTCTTTTTAATGGGACTTTGTGGCTTAAAATATATAAAATCAATGAATTTTGGCTTTGGCTGAAGCAGTTGAGCAGCCAAGTTTTTGGCTGAGAACACAACTTCTTATTTTTTATTTTTTTTATACTATATATATATATTTTTTTAGACAGATTCAGGATTTTATTTATCTTGAATATGCCATTAACTGTGAGAAGGCATTTATAGAAACATTTATTATATAAAATGTGTTTTGCTTTATATTTTTAGACTTATAGTTTTTTTTTCTTTTCTTTTTTTTTTAATTTAAATTTTATTTTTATATTCCCCATACAATTACAACCCCCTTAAGAACACAACTTTTTAAAGCAGCAATTCTAATAGGTCAGAAGGGGTTTGGACTGGTTAGGAATAGGTTTACATGTGCCTTTTACTAAAAGGCAAGCCTTGCCTTCTTGTGTTCTAGTAGAGTAAAATCTGAGAAGCAGATTTGTTACCATCCTGTTAATCTCCTCACCATCTCTGCTATATTCAGTAGAGGACTTTTTTGTCTTAAACAGTAATAAAAGAGAACCTCTGGATCCTACCAATAGGTTTGGAACTCTCCGTACCTGCAAACTTATAGGCCTACAAATTTTTGGAGCCTCCTGTATTCACATGGTTACTACCTTTATAGCCATGGTGCTATTATTCATTGATCTTACATTTATAAGAATATTTAATTCAGTCAGTTGCTAGGGCCAGAGAATGATCAGCAAATGACAGACATTCTAAGCAATAATGTTTTATTTTGGCTAAGTTGATTTAATTAAAACTGTGGTTTATGGACCCCTTGCTCTCAAATTCTGAGGTTCTTATTAAAAATACAGATCTCTAGGTTAATGCTTATCATCTGGTTTACAAATATAGCAGCTCTCTGCTATATAATGATTTTGTCCCACATTCATCTGTCCCATTATTTACTTTAGAAAGTACTGTCCTTTGTGAAGCAGCTGAGAAAAATTATCAGATTCTAGAATTGTGACTTCCTCTTTTAGTTTGAAAAATGAAGCATAAACATTTCTAATTTCAGATCAACAGCAAAAAGAAAGAATCAGCATGGGAAATGACAAAAAGTTTGTATGATGCGTGGTCAGGATGGCTAGTAGTAACACTAACAGGATTGGCATCAGGTAAAGAAAAATTTAATGCAATCTTGTTTTGCTTTAATAAGCAGTAAATAACTTTCCTCTTCTTTCCACAGGTTTTTTTTTTTTTTTTTTCCCCGATACCATTGGATTTTTAAAAGCATTTGTTTCTTACCTTTAGAAAATACTGTTAAACGTAAAACTAGGAATCAGGAAACTTCAGAGTCTAGTTTTTCCTGTAACTTTTTAAGTGTCTGCGCAGTTTGGTAAATCTTTCTGAACTCAGTTTCCTTATCTGTAAAATATATGGTTTGAACAAGATGATTGATAAAGTATCTTCTTATTTCAACATCCTAATGAATAGCTAATATTTATGAAGTCATTCTTATCTGTCAGTGTTGCAGAATTTTTTACATGTATGTTAATCTCATGACAATCTGTGGTATAATTGCTATTATTGACACTATTTTACAGATGAGGGGACTGAAGCATGAGAGGTTATGTAACTTGACTAGGGTCATGAAGGTAGTAGGTGACCAAGCAAAGATTTAAATTCAGGTATTTAACACAGGAACTTTTACTTTTAACTATCATGCTATACAGTGCCCACCAAGTACCTATCCTATGACATTTCAAGAAATGAACATCTGAAAACAATTAAGAATTGTTTTAATGTCACTCAGCTTTCACCATGGAAGATTATGTCCGAAGAACATAAGGAAAAGTTAAAATGTGTATGGAAAATAAGTAATATTCATGAGAATTTTGTAGCTGCTCTGTATATCACTCATTGATCTTTTTTATGTGATGAAAAAGACATAGGTTTTGACCATACATTTGTATTTTTTTTGTATTTTATCAGTAAAATCATTTTGATAAATTTGATTCTCTGTTATTTAGGAAAAACTGAAAATCTTTCACAGTAATTCATTAATGCTATGACTTTGTTTCCCATGGACATTAAATTTTAATGAGATTGAGGTCATTTGTAAGTCTGTTAATTACCTTTTAGATTAAAACATCCTAGTAAAATTTTGACTTCAGTAACCAGATTTGTGAACCTCTGACCAAGTAACTATCTTTAAAGAGGTTTTAGTATCTTTAAATACCTTTTTAAAAAATTACAATTAATTTGAATGATGTAACTGGTTTTAATTTCAGGAAAGAATGTTTTATTTTTAAGACTAGTTACTTTCTAAGGACTGTAAGTAGCTAAACTTATTTATTTATTTATTTATTTATTTATTTTAAATGCTCGCCATCTCTTTTTTTTCCTTTAATATTTATTTATTTATTTATACAAGCACCGGGTACAGTCAGAAGCGCGGGAGGGTGAGAGAATTCACCAGAGCCAGAGCGGGGAGCAGAGCAGGCAGAAGGACCGAAGTACACTGCTGAGGGCAGCAGCGGGCTGCAGGAGAGGTCTGCGCGCCATGTGGGACCCTCCTCCTGTGGCCGGGGAGCAGCCAGGGATCGAACTGGCGCTGCAGAGGCTGCGGGCAGCTTCGGAACCCAGCGCTCAACCGCTGCGCCACCGGGGAGGCCCAGCTAAACTTATTTATAACTAAGATTAGAAGATCTTAAATTCATATGCCATTTGCTCTGTGACCCTTTATTTATAGGAACTCCTCTGCTTCCCTTGATACTTAACTTGATAATTTTCAATTTCCCCCAAAATGGGTTTTTTTTTTTAACAACCATCTCCAAAATGTTGTTTACAGGGGCATTGGCTGGATTAATAGATATTGCTGCTGATTGGATGACTGACCTAAAAGAGGGCATTTGCCTTAGTGCATTGTGGTATAACCATGAACAGTGTTGTTGGGGATCTAATGAAACAACATTTGAAGAGAGGGATAAATGTCCACAGTGGAAAACATGGGCAGAATTAATCATAGGTCAAGCTGAGGTAAGTCTTGCTTTGCCTCAAGATAAGTTAATAATTTATATTGTGAAATGAGTCTCTAGTTCATTTAATTATGGAGTTAATCACAAATTAAGTGATTGTTACCCACATTAGGGGAAAGAAAAGAAGGAAATGTGATAGGGTAGAAGGAGAAAGAAGAATCCATTACAACAAGTAAAATATAAGTAAAAAGCCTTTGTGTTAGTTGAGTCCATAGTCACATACATGTCTACTAGGTTATGATGTAAAATGTATTTCTTATTGTAGAAAAGAAATATAGTAGGTTTTGTATAAACACAGAAAGTTAAGATGAAGTCAAGTTATCGAAACTGTTAATTATGTCACATTATTTGAGAAGTATGGATTATGAAAGTATGAATTAATAAAAAATAAGTAAGCTCTAACTGGTCTATTTTGAAGAAGACCATAAATTTTTTCTTTGTGGTTTTGCACTATTTTTGAATGACTTTTTTTTTGAATGACTTTTTTTTTATTCATACTTTGGAAGTTAGACTAATAGAGTGCATATATATATATATATATATATATATATAGTGTTAAATCATCATAGCTGACTCTTAAAGCTAAAATTCTTTTTATAGCTGACTTTGAAGCTAAAAAGAATGTATTTGCTGGTAAGATAAGCAGTTTGCTGTTTCTCACCTGGTTTTCAGGAGAACTGCAGCAGAATGAAATCCGAGTGCCAGAGCCACTGTTTCCAAAAGTGGTCTGCAGGTTGGCAGAGATTAAAGTATAACTGTGATTCTTAGCAATGGTAAAAGCTGGGAAAAGAATTAAATAGATTAAGTCTTATTGGTATGAAATATGATTGAGTTTTGAAATCTGTTAAATATTTTGTTCACATAAGGTTTTTATTGTAGAAGTATACCCAGGAACCTTTTATAAAGTTTTACCCACATTTCTTATGTGGTAAAGCACTTGCATTAGAGATGCACTGTAAATTACATTCGTACTATTTAACTATTTGCTTTTTAGGGCCCTGGTTCTTACATCATGAACTACATAATGTACATATTTTGGGCCTTGAGTTTTGCCTTTCTTGCTGTTTCTCTGGTAAAAGTATTTGCTCCATATGCCTGTGGATCTGGAATTCCAGAGGTAAGACATGTAAAATATTTGTCATTAAACATTTAATACTTGTTGTGATACATATCTTTTTGCCTTCACAGAAAAAACTAGGTTTTGATTTTTCTTTAGGAGAATGGTTTGTTCTTAATGTGAAAAAGAAGTTTGTAAACATGGAAACTAAATGTAGACATTATTGAAAAAAATTTTTCCCTCTAGTCAATTCTTCAATTACCGTGGAGGTTGATTTCTTTTATTCCTCACCATTAATTAACACATCACTAAACAAACATCAGAACACAGAATTTAACATGAGGGACCTGGAAAAATATCTATGACTTATGGTTCTCTGATGGATTAGTTGATTTTTGCTGTAATAAACCTGACTTGAACACATTTATTCTCTTTTTGTAACCATTTTTTTAATGAGATAAGTTGATTCTTGAATTTGAAAGACAATATTTATAACCGTTTTTTACTTTATTTGATTACAGTGGATCTGTAGTATAAATCTTTGTGTTTTATTTTTTTAACAATAATTTGAAAGCACATATACTTAACCTTGAACATGATATGACACATTTCTTTTCTTGTCACCTTTTTACTTTTCTATCTTAAGTTACCAGCTTTTTCTGGTGCATTACTTTTTAAATTGTAGTAATTTTTAAAATTGAATTAATCAGTTTTCTGCTGTAGAAATATTCAAATTTTCTTTTTCCTGTTATATAATAATAATAATATTAATGTGTGCATTCCCTTCAATATGGCCTGAGAGTTTAGCTTTGTTCATAAGGTAATTTTGCCTTCTTTCCTTTCAGAAGGATATTGTTTTGTTATAGATTTACTTATAGTAGTATAGATTTATTATATATAATATGATACTCGAAATGTTTGAAAAATTGTGAATTTTGCATAGCCTGCCAACATTTTGCAAGGTGGTTTTGTGTGTAAAACGAGAGTATCTTAAGTTAGTTAAGTTTTCTTTCTTATTAAAGGAAATTAAGCTGCTTTAATCTTTCCTTTGTAGATTAAAACTATTTTGAGTGGATTCATCATCAGAGGTTACTTGGGAAAATGGACTTTAATGATTAAAACCATCACATTGGTATTGGCTGTGGCATCGGGTTTGAGTTTAGGAAAAGAAGGTCCCCTGGTACATGTTGCTTGTTGCTGTGGAAATATTTTTTCCTACCTCTTTCCAAAGTATAGCACAAATGAAGCTAAAAAAAGGGAGGTAAGTATCTTTTTTGGAATAGCTTCCGTATTCACATTAAAAATCTGATGTTAGATTTGTTGGTGCTCCTTTTCCCTTTGAATATTCTCTGGCATCGTTCTACACTTTATCTTCAGTGCTGCTCATTTACTCTTGTATTAGAGGTGTTTTAGGTAGACTGTGTGGTAGTCATTGGGTTTTAGTTGAATTTCACAAGGGTCTTTCTTTTTGCTTTTGCTTTGCCATACACCTTCCCTTCTCTGGAGATATAATACTGCTTTTACTCTTATTCTCCCCATCAGTATTTCTCCAGGGGTGAGATATTGGAATAGCTGTTCTTCCTCTGGAGAAACTTCCAAGTAGCATTGGGAGTGGTGTGATCTGCAGAGAGCTATCTGACACCGTGGGGCAGTTCTGAGGGCCTTTAAATAGAACTTCCTGAGGTTTAATCAGAAATTCACATTAAAGGGGATACAAGAATTCCTCTTTATTCAGCTGTTTAGGACAATTTCCCTTACCATTTTTTCAGGCCAGCCTGAGCTCTTTTAGGAGACCTTTAAACATTTTACATTACAGAATTTCTCAGATGTTTCTAGATTGTACTGGATGTTTTCTAAAAGAAAAGTGGGCTTTTGCGACCTATATTTGGGGGCCTGGTCCCTACCTGTTTTCTTAGTCTTTTAGCTATTAGGTAACGATATTTTTGCATCTCTAAATATTAAGAACTCAATGATCTCTGGCCCTGCACAGAATCTTTCTTCTTTTTTTTTCTTATAATAGTGGAATCTTTTATCAAATTATTCTCCAATTGAAATAATCTTAGTTTATTTTAATATTAGCACTAAAATATTGTCCTTGCGTTGCTATAGATAGTCTAAACGTGGAATACTTCAGAACATCATCCTTCCATCTCTGAGTAATTGTGACTCCAATACTATCTTACATAACAAAAAGGAGCTAACATTTCTGATTACTTACTATGTATCTGGTATTATGGCAAGAATTGTACTTGGCCTAAAAAATTTTAATTCCACAATAATTCTATTAAATTGGCACAATTATCCTCATTTATAGGTAGGAAACTAGAGCTTAAAGTACTCCTTTGTCAGCTAAGTAGTGTGTGGATTAAAATTTATTTTTCTCTGACTATACCACTGCTACTATGATTGTGTATATATGTGGTTTTAAACTTAAACAAAACAAAACCTGAAACTATACTATAGCATAACAAGGTAGTGGCTAAGATGGAACTCTACCAATTTGTCTTCCCAGTTCAATTCCTTTATTTGCTATTATGGCTGGGCATTTTTTGTAGTATGCTTTTTATTTATTAGAAACTTTTATGGAAATTAAATTCACCTAAGTGTTAATATACATTCTGTAATGGTTAATGTTTATGACATTGTTCTATAACCATAGTATGTAAGTGGCTAGAATTTACTTGGGACTTGAAGGCATTAAGTCTTCATAATTTGACTTCCTTCCTATGTCCATTTCCTTGACTTTTTAAATTAAATTATTCTAAGATGAATCATATTAAAATGTGTGTGAGCTGGAGGCACCGCGATATTAGTTTGATTGTAAGATTTTATTACATTAAATGTTGGATCATAGAATTCAGTTAAATATGTTGTCTGTTAGCCTTTTAATGGGGGTGGGGGAGGGAGAAACAAAAGCAAAATATTAAGTTTCATTTCTTCTCCCTTCTACCCTAAATAAGCAGAGTCCACATTCTAAAGTCAGGTACAACTTAATTGAAACAAGTATTTATTTTCACTTTGCCAAATACTTGAAAAGTGTTTACTGAGTCTTAGGCATTGTTGTAAATACTGTATCAACTCTTAATTCTCATGAGTTAAGCAATATTTTCCTATCCCCATTTTAGAAAAGAGAAAACTGAAGCACAAAGAGGTTAAGTTACTTACAACTAGTAAGTGGTAGAGCTAGAATTTATCCTAGTAACCACTATGGAGTTCATGCTCCAATATTTTCAATTTTATTTTGGTTATTATTTCTCATTTCTCTGTCAGTAGTGTGAAAATTTAAGAAATGCTTTTGTAGCCTCAGGTATTTACTGGATAGATTAGTGGAATAAAGATCTTTAGAAAAACAATTGTAAGTAAATGTCCAGTGAATTTATATGTGTAGTTGACTTTGCACCGGTGGGAATTGGGCAAGTGACAGACCAGGAAACTGGAGCCAAGGACCAGAAGAGTATTTGTGGATGTTTCTTTAAATGTATTGTAGAGTTTCTGGTTAGTGAGGCTATCTAGTACGGGCAGCCATTGTTTGTGCTTTTAGAAGGAGATGATTTTAATTGATAGTAGCAAAACTAAAAATTAAAGATTTTTTGCAGACCGTGCTCCATTGGATCCTCTTTTCTCTGTGACTGCAAAAGCAACCTGAATGCCAGTAAAAATGAGCATATTTGTAGAGGACTCGGGGTAGTGAAAATACAGAAAAATTCCATAGCCTTTATGTTCCTGGATATTTTACTAGGATTTGGAATAGAGTTAATTACTAATAATGAAATAGTGAGCTCTAAAACTTGAAGAAATGATACCCTATAAAAATAAATGGACAGTCCTCTCCCCAAATTACAGTTACTGCTCTTTGTACTTGTCTTCCCAAACATACATCTTGAATGTCATCTATAGTCATCGCATCCTCCTCTTTACATCCTATTTACATTAGTTTATCTGCTATAATATTTTTTGACTGAATGTTGAATATATAAATGAACTTTCAAATTAATGCAGAAGAGAAAAAATCTTTTTAGGAAAAATAAATAATGCCTTTACTTGGAGAGGAAGAAACCATGTGAATTAACTTTGGAAGAGATGTTTGGAAAATCTGAGTAACCTGAAGAATTTTTATTTGGTATAGTTGAGTTTTTAAGAAAATATAAATATGCCATATCCTCTTTTTAGGTGCTATCAGCTGCCTCGGCTGCAGGGGTTTCTGTAGCCTTTGGTGCACCAATTGGAGGAGTTCTTTTTAGCCTGGAGGAGGTACGTTAAAGAAAACACAGCAGTTAAAATTCTTTATAATTACCATTACAAATATATTTTGTCATACTTCTTAGTTTTATATCTAGTAAAATCGATGTAGAGTGTGTTTTTTAAGTTTTCAGTTTTATTTTCATACTTTTTACTCTTAATAAAAAAGTGACATAAACATATGAAATTATAGATGTCCCTTGTGTCTACACCTGGAGGGAAAACTTTTTTTTTTTAAAATAATAAATTTTATTTTTATATTCCCCATACAATTGCAACTCCCCCATTTTGACCCCAATCCCTCCCCTTCCCCCCCCCCAAAAAAAAGTGTCTCTGGTTCATAGTTTTTTGTTGATTTTGATGATTTTTTTGATTTTCACTTTCTTATAGTTATTCATTTTCCTGGTCCCTTATTTAAGTTTTCTAGATTCCTGCTATGAGTGAGACCATCTGGTATTTTTCTTTTTCTTTCTGGCTTATTTCGCTGAGCATGATCCCTTCCAGCGCCACTTTTTTAAGTCTATAGTGTACAGATATTAGTGATTATTTAAAATATAACTTTGTTCACATTTAAAAGTAAGCAGATATGAATTTGACTAAATAGAAAGTGTAACAATCTATTCTAGCTGGTTAAATTGCAGCCTGTATTAAAAAAAAAACAAACTTTTAACTGATCCCATTTTTGAATAATTTTTCTTGTGTGATTATTTCTGTTGCAGTTTTTGATGTTTAAGGAAATAATTTTAGTCACTTCAGTGGGGTTATTTTGTTTTTGTTTCTTTTTGGTGGTTAAACATTTTTTTCCTTTCTGAGCCTCCCCTGTGGCAGAGCAGGTCAAGCGCAGTGCTTTGAGGCTGTCTGCAGCCTCTGTAGTGCTGGTTCAATTCCCGGCTGGCCAGGGAGATACCCACATGGCGCAGCAGACCTCTCTTGTCTCACCTGCTGCACCCCTCAGCAGTGCTTTTGGTGCTCTGCCTGTTCTGCTCCCCGCTCTGTCTCTGGTTAATTCTTGCACCCTCCCGTGTTTCTGGCCTCTACCCCAGTTCTTGTATAAATAAAGAAATCTTAAAAAAAAAAAAATTGGGCCTCCCCTGATGGTGCAGGCAGTTGAGCGCAGCTCTGTGAAGCTGTCCGCAGCCTCTGCAGTGTGGGTTCCATCCCGGCTGGCCGGCGAGGGTCTCAGATGGCGAGCACACCTCTCCTGTCAATGCCCGTTGCTCCCCTCAGCAGTGTATTTCATCAGTCTGCCTGTTCTGTTCCCTGCTCTGTCTCTGGTGAATCCTCTCACCCTCCTGCACATCTGGCCTGTGCCCCAGTTCTTGTATAAATAAATACGTAAAAATCTTTTAAAAAAAATTAAAATTTTTTTTCCTTTTTTTTTACACATTTACACAAAAATGTGACTAGGAATATTTAATTTTTTTTCTTCCACTTGTTTGTGTTCTTTTTTCTTAACATACAACAGGCAAATTAAATACTTTATGAATTAACAGAAGTTAGTGATGGTATATTTATTCTTAACTACTGTGAATGAATTGGAGGTGGAATTCATTTTGAAAATAAAATAATGCTAGGCATTTAAAATAATTACTAAGCACTTACAGTCAGCTATTACTGTGAATTTGTAATGACATGATAACCAAAGTGGTTAAAACATTTTTTTGTCACAATAAAAGCTATGCATGTAAATTTTAGTTGCAGCAAAAAAATAGAGCTATGAAATTTACTACTCAAATTATATCAGCAACAACTTGTAAATTGTAACATTAATTTTTCCTTTTTTTCTTTTTTTTTAGGTTAGCTATTATTTTCCTCTTAAAACTTTATGGAGGTCATTTTTTGCTGCTTTAGTGGCTGCATTTGTTTTGAGATCCATCAATCCATTTGGTAATAGCCGTCTGGTTCTTTTTTATGTGGAGTATCATACTCCATGGTACCTTTTTGAACTGTTTCCTTTTATTCTCCTCGGGGTATTTGGAGGGCTTTGGGGAGCCTTTTTCATTAGGGCAAATATTGCCTGGTGTCGTCGACGCAAATCCACCAAATTTGGAAAGTATCCTGTTCTTGAAGTCATTATTGTTGCAGCCATTACTGCTGTGATAGCCTTCCCTAATCCATATACGAGGCTCAACACCAGTGAACTGATTAAAGAGCTTTTTACAGACTGTGGTCCCCTGGAGTCCTCTTCTCTTTGTGACTACAGAAATGACATGAACGCCAGTAAAATTGTTGATGATATTCCCGATCGTCCAGCAGGTCTTGGAGTATATTCAGCTATATGGCAGTTATGCTTAGCACTCATATTTAAAATCATAATGACAGTATTCACTTTTGGTATCAAGGTAAGTACTAAGTACCAAGATACTGAAGTCATCTTGGCATTTTCAAAACTTGTATGTGGAATAAGAAATGAAATTTTTATCTAAACTTGTTTGTCTCAAACATAGGACAAAAAAGTTACTATATTTTGTGTTTAGTTTTAAGTAATGACAAAAAGAATTCCTGACAATATATTGTTGAACATGATGTTACTATGTAACAAATTACCCCCAAATTTAGCCAGCTTATTTTGCTTTGGATATTAAGTCAGCAATTTGGGAAGACTCAGGTGAGACCACTTTGCTTGTGGTCTCTCACACAGTTGCCTTTAGACATGCCCATGGCTGGACATCACAGAGATACATTTTTGTCTAGCACCTGGGCTGAGAAGATGCAAACAACTGGAGATGGAACACCTGAGTTCCTAAAATCTTTTATTATGTGCAGTTTTTCTCAGCATGGTGGACCAAGAGTAGTTCTTTCTTAAGAGGTGACTCAGGCTTCCAAAAGCAAGTGTCCCATAAGAACTTTTCTAACCAGCTAGAGAAGTCATGCAGTATGATTTCTGTTACATTCTGTTGTCTCGGCAGTCATAAAACCCGCTCAGGTACAGGGGGAGGGACATACACTCTGCCTGTTGCTGGGAATGATGTTTTAAAACCACTTGTATTAGTTTCCTATTATTGCTGTAATAAATTACCACAAGCCTAGTGTTAAGGTTTAAAAAACACAAATATATTAGCATATTTTAATATTATATATTATATATTCTGATATGTATTTTATGTTTATATTTATATATTAAAATATATGTATAATATTATACTTCTGGAATCAGAAGTTTAAAATGAATCTCATTGGGTTAAATAAAGGTGTCAACAGGGATTTATGGAAGGTTTGAGGGAAGAGTTTTTGCCTTTTCCAGCCTTCTAGAGGCTGCCTGCATTCCTTTGCTTATGGCTGCATTGTTCTTTTTTTTTTTTTTTTTTAAATTTTGTTTATTTTTGTGCAGAAGAGCTGTGGTGTAGGCCAGAGTTGTGGGGGGTGAGAGGTTTCACCAGAGACTGAGTAGGGAGTAGAACAGGCAGATCCACTGAAATATACTGCTAAGATAGGCAGCAGGCAAAACAGGAGAGGTCTGCTGCACTATAAGTGGGTTAGCTCCCTGGGCAGGTATCGAACTCCGGCCTTGGCAGTGACAGCACTGAGCTTAACAAGTTGACCCCCAGCGAGTCCCCATTCTTCCTTTTTTAAAGTCAGTAATGAATGACTGGTCAAGTTTTTCTTTAATCTCATCATTTTTACTAATTCTTTTAAATTCTTTTTATGTTTATAAGACGGTTGTGATTACTTTGAGACCATCTAGATCAGGCTAATCTTCTATATTAAGGTCAGCTTATTAACAACCTTAATTCTGTCCATCACCATAACTCCTCCTTGCTGTGTAACATAACAAATTCACAGGTTCTAGGAATTAGGATATGAATATCTTTGGGGAGCCATTATTCTGCCTGTTCTCACTGTAAGTTTTAGTTTAAAAGGACACTGCAGATTCAGAGTTAAATTACTAGGCCTATGAATACTGCATTTTTACATCAAGGATTTTACTAGGTCTATGAACAGCATACCTTTTTTCATCAAGGATTAAAGGCAGCTATGTCTTATGCCCTAGGACATTACTTCTCTTGAATTTATAAAGGCAAGAATAACATTACTTAATGATCTTCCAGCAAATATTTTTTTATATGACTGTTAGTGATTTATATTATGAAGTGATATCAGCAAATCTTTGATCTTTAAATTATCACTCTAGTTCATATAATGTTGAATAGTAATTTATATTCGTGAATGATTGTGTGATTTTACAGATGTAAATTGGACTGATAGTTTTGTTTCTATGAAATTGAAGTGTTGGTAGTTTTTGAAATATGTTCCGTGTTCAGTCCACTAGATATCAGTAGTTAAAGTCTTGGAGTTTTACTGTTTTTTTTTCCTTACCAAATCGAGTTTAAGGAATTGTTAAAGCTCCTGTTTCTACAGTAAGTTGGTTTTCTGTAAATTCCCAACTTTTTTACCCTCAGTTGAGCTACAGGAAGCTGGAGGCAGTTGGCAGGCCTTTAATTCCCATGATACCCTCATCTCTGGCTGAAGGATCCTCACTGGCAGGAGAATGTAAAACATATTTTGATTTCTTCTATTTTAATATCCTTTTACTGATTCCCGTCCCACTCTACAACATGCTGTCATTTTGCTTTCTGCTTGTTTTAAATTCAAAGCAGTTTAGAGCTATTAGTTTTCAGCATTTTGTAAGTGATCTTGCTTACTTTGTTTATTATTACTATTATCCTCTTTACATTTAATTAATAATTTTCTTATTTTGGTCAACTCATGTCACTAAAAGTATACTGGACTTTTGCATTTTGCATTGTACCACTTAAAAGGAATGGAATCTCATATTTGTCATTTGATAAACAACAAATATGTAGAAAGTATATAATCTTGGTTTCAGTGATAGTACTGAATTTAGTTTTAGGAAAAAATATATTTTGCTTTCTTATTTTAAGGGACTGACGAGTATAATGGTGTTGTATACATTGTTTTGTTTAAAAAATATTTTATATTGTCCTTTTTTTCCTATTTCATCATGGACTAATGAAAATTTTGTTAGGGACTGGCATTAAGGAACCCCTAAAATAAAGAATTAATAATCCTTGAGTTTTCTCTTTGGTCTAGAGAATGTGTTTTGTTATTTTGTAACTGAATTCATGGAATGGTTAATAACAAGATGTTGCTGTAGTTTTATTTGTTCTCGAATTTTGCCATATAAATGCAAAAGTATTAGGAAGAAATTCATAGTATGTAAATTTCAAACAGGTAATGGAGCTTCTCCACCTCCTTAAGAATTCTTTTCTTATAGGTTCCTTCAGGCTTGTTCATCCCCAGCATGGCCATAGGAGCGATCGCCGGAAGGATTGTGGGGATTGCCGTGGAACAGCTTGCATATTATCACCACGACTGGTTTATCTTTAAGGAGTGGTGTGAGGTTGGGGCTGATTGCATTACACCAGGCCTTTATGCTATGGTTGGTGCTGCTGCATGCCTAGGTAATGTAACCACATGTCTGTCTGTTTATGTATGTTTGTGAATCTGAGGAAAGAACAAGTGAGAACCCGCCTGCTCACAAGGGGGTGAGGAGAAGGGTGGGTCATGTTTTAATGGAAATGAAGCAGTAGTGCTATTTATAATATATTTATGATATTGTAGTACTTGCTTTCATTTTACCTGTCTCTGAACATTTAATGCAGAAATTTAATAGTAGTATCTTTTTAATAGTAGTATCTATTTAATGCCTTAGAAAAGCATGTTAGAAAAGCTTTAGAAAACATGTTAGTATGACATAGGCTTAAAGTTTGAATCCTGTCTGTGGAGATTTTTAGTTTTTTCATTGTGATCTTGGTTTACCGTAGAGTGATTCCTAAGAGCAGCATTCTAGAGAAGCTTAAGAATAGCTTTACTTTGGTCTCTGCTGCCGTGATTAGCTAGTCCCAGTACGAGATCACAAGCCCTTCTCCATCTATAGGGCATTTATAATGGAATGAGAAAAAGTAACTACTTCAGAATAACAAAATATGTGCATTGGATACTTAAGATTCCATTTATTGTCTCACATAAAATTAGTTCTTTTTGTATTTAAATGTCAGCTAAACTTTGGTTAATAATTATTTGGTTTAATAATTATTTAGTTAATAATTATTTGGCTTAATAATTATTTGTATTTTGACAAAATGATTAAAAGTAATAACTGATCAACAAAAGTATAATATCAAATGAAAGTGAAGGACAGAATCATTTTCCTCAGTGTAGCAGGTATTTCTTAAGTATCACTTCCTATTTTAACACTGTGCTAGGAACAGTGAGTAATACAGAAGGAGGTATAAAACATGGACTCAGCCTCAACTATGATCAAGTTGGGGAGACAAAACCAACACTGCAAAAATAATAGTGAGCAATATATAATGATTATATACAGTACTGATTAAGTTTATAAAATCTAAAGGAAGAAAGAACTGAAGTAATTCAGGAAGGCTAGAACATGAACTTTATTTTAAAAGACTGGTAGAGGGCCTCCCTGGTGGCGCAGCGGTTGAGCGTTGGGTTGCGAAGCTGCCCGCGGCCTCTGCGGTGCCGGTTCGATCCCCGGCTGCTCCCCTACCACCGGAGGAGGGTCCCACATGGCGCGCAGACCTCTCCTGCCGCCCGCTGCTCCCCTCAGCAGTGTACTTCGGTCCTTCTGCCTGCTCTGCTTCCCGCTCTGGCTCTGGTGAATTCTCTCACCCTCCCGTGCTTCTGACTGTACCCAGTGCATGTATAAACAAAACAAACAAACAAATAAATAAAACATGCCTCTATAAAAAAAAAAAAAATCTTAAAAAAAAAAAATAAAAGACTGGTAGAAATTAACGAAGACTACTTTGTTGAAGATTATAATAATACAAAGACAAAAGAGTTAGGGTAGGAATAAGTTTAGTATTCATGAGGCTTTGAAGAAGCTATTGAAGTTAAGTGTGCATTTTGGATACTTTTGGGAAACAAAGTTGAGTTGCTGAGGAGGAGGCAGGTTAAGGAAAGGAATGATTTGTATCAGAATGAATTTGTATTTGGAATTGGTTGGATCTGTGGAGAGTTATGACTTTGCCATTCTAGCTTGATGACTTGATGTTTTGATTTTTCAATATCTTTTCTATAAAGTGGAAATACTAAGTACTTATCTACTATAGTTGTTTTGAGGATTATATGAGATAAAATGCACAGTGCTAGTAAAATAAGTGCTTAGCTTAAAAAACAAAGAAAAAGCCTTTGTTAACTGACTAGAACATGACTGGCATAGAGTAGATATGTAATATATAGTAGGTTCTTTCTCCCTTCTATTTTTAGGTTAAAAAACAAAAAGGAAGAGTTAAGCTTAACACAGTATGAACTGGCAAGCCCTGGTAGGTTTTTGAGCAAAGGATCAACATGGTGAAAGTAGTACTTAGGAAAGATTAACCTGGGAACATGACTTATAAAGTGGATTGAAGGTAATGGGGCCTGGAGTCAAGGAGGTAAGATAAAATAGTGTTAATTTAAGGAACAAAGTCTTAAGGACCTAGATTAGGTTGGTAACAGTGAGAATGTTAAGACAGGGAATCACAGACATACTTTGCAGAACAAATTAAATATACTAGGTGAGTCTAGATCCTGGAATAAAGTGATGAACCAAGGTGACTGTCTATCAAGAAGAATGATGTCCAGTGTTGTAGTTAGGGCTGTTGGACTGGGAGCTCATTGGGGGAGAAAAGAAGTTTGCTTTTAAGTGTGTGTTGTTTTCTGTGACACTGGGCCATCCAGCCTATTTACAGTTTGAAAACAAGACAAGATAGGGTGTGCATAGTTGGAGACATGGGACAAAAGCTACAGTTGAGGTGGACATATGTGGATAGGAAGGCATCAGGGCATAGAGATGGTGACTTGAGTAAGTGAATAGATGAGTGTTCTAAGGGAGGGTATATTCCTTACATGGTTAATGTAAGTTGCAAGGTATCAAAGTATTTTACTCCTTTTGAAAAGATTTAAAGGAGAGAAGTGAATTAAAATAATATTTTACCCGCGAGTTTAATTTGTAAATTGGTAGTAAACAAGATAGCTCTGAAGAATTAATAATAAGCTTTTATAAGGGTGAAATTATGTCTCTGCTATTGCAATAAACCAAAATGGAAAACTTGCTTTAATTGATTAATCATGATATTTTTATATGAGGCAAAGGGGTTTTAAAATATTTATTAAATTTTCATCTGTGTTATAAGCAAAGCAGATTGGTATTTTTTTTCTAGACCTTATTAAAATAGTGATACTTGTGCTAAGAGTAGTAGTTTTTGATGATAATGCTTTTCACTATGTTCTGTTTACATTTTTTGTATGATTACTTTGTACATAAATTATATTAACATTTATTAATGAAGATCCAGTCCTTCCTGACCTGTGGTGTTTACTTTTTTTCAGGTGGTGTGACAAGAATGACCGTATCACTGGTGGTTATTGTTTTTGAGCTTACTGGAGGCTTGGAATATATTGTCCCCCTTATGGCTGCAGTAATGACCAGTAAATGGGTTGGAGATGCCTTTGGTAGAGAAGGCATTTATGAAGCGCACATCCGCTTAAATGGATACCCTTTCTTGGATGCAAAAGAAGAATTCACTCATACAACCCTGGCTGCTGATGTCATGAGACCTCGAAGGAACGATCCTCCCTTAGCTGTCCTCACACAGGACAATATGACAGTTGATGATATAGAAAACATGATTAATGAAACCAGCTACAATGGCTTCCCTGTCATAATGTCAAAGGAATCTCAGAGATTAGTGGGATTTGCCCTCAGAAGAGACCTGACAATTGCAATAGGTACCCTTTCTAAAAAAATAAACACTTGTAAACATCTAAATTTATTGATAAATATTACCTAGGTAGCTAGATAATAAATACAGATTTCTAGAAGGAAAGGAATAAAACTTAATTGGTTGGATTTATGGGAGCATGATATGTATTTTAATGTCCTTTGGAGTCTTCTTTAGTAAAGGAAATTAATGCTGCTTTGGTTTGTTTTCTGCTGAATATAGTTTTATTTTCTGATTTGGCATTGTTACCAGAGATTGGAGTCAGATTCTTTCTTATCCCACTCATAAAAGCATTATTAACTTGATATTATTTATAATAGCATGTAATAGAAGGACTAAGCAAGGGCCTCCCCTGGTGGCTCAGCGGTTGAGCGCTGGGCTGCGAAGCTGCCTGCAGCCTCTGCAGCGCCGGTTTGATCCCCGGCCGCTGGCGAGGTTCCCACATGGCACACAGACTTCCCCTGCCGCCCGATGCTCCCCTCAGCAGTGTACTTCGTCAGTCTGGCTATTCTGCTCTCCACTGTGGCTCTGGTGAATTCTCTCAACCTCCTGCGCTTCTGACTGTACCCAGGGCTTGTATAAATAGAATAAATCTTAAAACAAACAAACAAACAAAAAAAAACAAGGACTAAGCCAGTGCCAGGGCATTCAGCTAAACACAACTTTTATTTAATAAAATAGTAGATTTGTATGCAAGTTTTGAAAATTTCATCTTCCTTAGTCTTTTTCTTGCCAGATTCTTTGGATTTAAATTTATAATATTAACTTGTACTGTCTAAAGTGAAAAAATCAGTGAGATTTTATTTTTGGTCAATGCCAGGTTGAAAAAGTCAGTCTTATTTTATGCCAATATTCGTGAAAATGTAGTTCAAAGGCATTAACCATACTATATTATTTCTTGGAGATAAACTTTTTCTGAGGAAAAAGCAACCAGGTGTTCCTCTGAAATCCATTTTCTCCCTATGTTATAGTCTTAGACTGTTCATGAGGCCCAAGAAGGCTCTAACTTTTTATATATAATCTGAATCCTTTCCTCCCAGCCCTCAGAGATGATAGTGATATCTTCATTGAGTCATTGCTTTGTTGTGCTTCAGTTTTTAGTAGTGTATCCTGAATTGAAAATGTCCAGCTTTTGACCTGCCTCGAATGTCATTCCTGTGACCCCATGGTCTCCCTTCCAGCTCATCTCTGTGGTCACTGCAAAAGGATTGAGAAATATTTCAATTCTTCTGCCATTTGATAGGGGAGGTTAGGCTGTATAAATGAGGATGGGGAATATTTCTCAAACTGGAAAATTTCCACTTAAAAGAGCTATTAAAGCAAAAGAAAAGAAAAAAAGTCTCGAGAATGACCTGTTCCATTTAGGGTGAGGGTCCAATTTTAGATTAGCTGTCTCATCATTCCACGTTTTGCTTTAGGGAATAGAATAATACTTGTCCAAGAAGGAAAAATGTGTAGTTAGACTTGGCTGTGCCCAAACTAATAAGCTATTACCGTTTGCTAAACCTACAGTCAGAGGAATTCCATTGTTTAGATTCACCGTCTTTTGGTTTTCATAGTAGCCCATCAGTAAAAAGAAAATGATCAGAATTTTTGGAATTTGCATAGAATTTTAAAGAAATAGGCCAATTTTTAAGAGATAAAGGAGAAAGTGGTAGAGAATTATATTCTCACTGATTCTATAGATTTATTTAAAAAATTTTTGTTACTGTCTTAAGAAATAGAATATTTGGGTAACAATAATTTTAGGTTAAGGGAATTGGGGTATTTCAGATATGTGAAATATGTCATAAGGAATGTTAGTTATATGATCACTTTTTTTTTTTTTTAGATTTTTTTTTTTTTTTTTAATACAAGTGCTGGGGTACAGGCCAGATGCGCGGGAGGGTGAGAGGATTCACCAGAGACAGAGCAGGGAACAGAATAGGCAGATTGACTGAAACACACTGCTGAGGGGAGTAGTGGGCAAGACAGGAGAGGTCTGCTTCACCATGTGGGATTCTCGCCAGCCAGACAGGATCGAACCCGCGCTGCAGAGGCTGTTCGCAGCCTCTGCAGCGCGGCCCTCAACCACCTGCGCCACCAGGGAGACCCCATATGATCACTCTTTGGACACACTTGGAATATTTATTAACATATTTGTAAAGTTTGTTTTTAAATGGAAAATATGGACCCTGTGCACTAGTATTGCCTGTGTCTATACTAAATACAATATATAATTTATATTTATATAAAATACTTTATTTAAGGACAAAAAATATATTAGATACTGTATCCTAGGATGGGAAAACTCAAGATTTTAAGAAAGTTTTCTACAATGTTATTTATAAACTGCATTTTTGTTACTTTTTAAAAATTGTTTTTTAATTTAAGTGTAGATTTATACAGTTGAAAGTCAAGGTTGTAAGAAATATGTTACAGTAAGAAACATATCTACCTCGTGACCTCATAGTCACAAGTTCAATTCTATTTAGGCAGCCAACTCCTTGGTTTCTTATGTAGTTTGTAGATATTATTTTATAGTTATGTAAGTACATCTGTAGATTATTTTTCCTCTTTTAAGCATTATGTTGTCAAGTTATGTTGTTTTTTTCACTAAACAATGTTTTCTTGAATGTCTTCCCATGTCAGTGTGTAGTTTCCTTCATTCTGTGTTCTTGCAGTTACACAGTATTCCATTTAGCAGATGTGCCATGGGATATGTCATGATTTTTTTTAAATAATTAAAAAAAATTTTAATGAAGTACTAATTTTTTACATCCTTCTTAATTTTTTTTGGCAGCATAGAATTTCTCCCCTCATGTGTGGTCAGATGAGCTCTGGCACTACAAAAGCATACCCATGGTTTCTTGTGCTTCCCTCCTTTATCACCCCCCCCATTTTCAGCCCTCCCTACATCATGAATCTTGAAATTACTTCTCCATCCTTGGACATTTAGTTCCAGTCTTTTGATGTTATTAAAGTTGTGGCCTCCTATATTTGATAATATAAATTACAGAAGTGAACTTATTTGATCAGAGAAAGCATTTATATTTTCAGATAGCACTATGTAGAGGTGTACTATTTACTCCCACTAGCAGTGAATTCTGTCCCATCAATGGTTTACTATGTTAAAGTGTAGTCTTACTTTAGAGACATTTCCTCCGCATTTTAGGTGGGGCAGAATGTTTTATAGATTTATTTAAAGTGAACCAACCATATTTAATAGTGAGTGTAATCATCTTTCCTATTTTGTACCTTAAAGTATAAAAATATACTTTTCCATTTCTGTTTATTTAATAAGAGCTGTAAGTTGCACAAGGGACTCTTAAGGTATGAAAACCTGAATATCATCAACATATTGAACACAATCAGAAAGATATGTGGTGCAGTGACAAGTTTCCCTCATTGTGTTTTTCTCCTGCTCCTTTAAGATCTTTTGTTCATAATAAAGCTTTAGCTTGTATACCTAAGAGAACTAAATTGCTGATGGTTTCCCCTCTCAAAGGAATATTATCAATCCTAGATCTTAAAATAGAGTTTACTTAATTATATGGCCAGCATGTAAATGAACCAATCTTTTGTTAATTTATTTGTAGTAAAACTTCATGCCTGCTCAGGTAGTTGATAACCATTTTATGAATTTAGATACATATTTGCTTTCTAAAATTACTACAGGTGAATAAGTTTTAGATCCCGGAGGAATGTTTTTGGAATGTATTACTACCAGATTTCATGGAATCAAAATGAAAGATGATAGATAGCCTTACTGCCTTTTCTTTCTTAGTTCCTGTGGGCACAGCCACATTTTGAAGCTTGTGTCTAGGGCCCTCAATTGAACTCCTCTGGCTCATCAGACCCAGGTTAATTTATCCAAAACAAAACTGAAAGTTCCTATTTGATGTTGTCTTGGAAAGCCTCATTTCACTTACAGTGTGTGCTAATTTTTCTAAGTATTTTGCATCTGCTATGTAAATGGCCAGTATTTGTCTTTGTTTTTCTCATCTGCTTTACTGCACATAATTCCCTCATATTTCTTTCATTTTGCTGTAAAAGACAACATTTTGTCTTCCATATGATTGAGTAATATTCCATTATGTGGAATACCTTTTTAAATGAATTTTGAGACGTTAAGCCCTTGAGAGTATATTAACAAGATTTTTCTTTAAAAATAATAACAATGCAAAAATCATACCAAAATAAAAAATATAGGGGAAAAATAAGACATAAATTTGTATAAAGAGAGGTAAAATTCATATTTACTTTGGAAATTTTGTGTTAGATGAGAGCCATTCCCTTTCTCCTGGAAATGTCTCCTGCATAGACACGCAAAATGTCTGAGTCATATTAGAAAATGAAAACTGTGACATTTTCTGCTTCAAAAACCTTTTTGAATGAATGGCATCAAAACAATTTTAAAAGACCAGAAAACCAAAACTTGCAGATGTCCTGGCACTTAGTAAGTGTTGCATAAATCATGCTTGTTAAAATAGTTACTGTATTCATGTAAATTAAGTGTTATTCTTCAAATGACAGAATGAAGCCAGGGAGGCTGGATGTTCATTAGCCTCGTGCCTAGGACCGCCATTCCAGTAAATCAACTTTTTAAAAACAATTGAAAATTTTTTGGTCATTGTTTTGTCATATTAAATATTTATTTAGATAATCTCAGTATATTTCCCTTGATGACATAATGGTTTTTATTTTATGGGCTATTTAAGATTGATTGCTATTAGTTTTAACTCAGAATGTCTGTCATGTATGCTATCAGTATGTACACTCCTCCATTCCATTGTCCAACATAAGTCATTAGCTAGATGCTTCTATGGACTTGAAGCAATTTACTGAGCATTTTTCAAGTCACTTATGTCATATGTTAATGGACTTTCTTCTTTTTCATGTGTTTATCATGCTTTTAAGGTGGTTAAGTAAGAACTAACCACTAGGATGTGGTTATTGAATGTGTTACAGCACAGTTAAATAAGGCTTTAGTGGTCAGGAGTAAAAAGCATTGCAATATCTGTTTATGAGCAGTAATATCTGCTTAATTTAACACTGGTATTTATTATTTTGACTTGAATTTTTGTTGCAAAGTAGATGTTCAGTATAAGAAATAACTATATTTGTGTATACAGTTTTGAATACACTCAACTCAAAATAGAAACTAAGCTGAATGACTTTTATTTTTATATTCTTTCCATTTCATGGTTTCCTTCTCCTTCTTGTGGTTGCTCTTCTTCCTCTTCATGAAGTTTTATGTGTCTTTGCCACTTCTTGTCGTAACAAAGTGGGTGTGAAGATAGGCAAGAGGACAGAAGCACTTGAAACACAGCACAACTGGAGAGAAGGAGAAATTAAAGGATTGTTTATAATTAAAACATAAAAAATCAGTCTGTGTCCATTATGTGCATTATTACAGTTTGAACTGTAATGCTCATGACTCTGTAGAAAATTAAACTGTAACATTAGAGAAGAGAAAGATGTAGCGCAGAAGCAGAGTTCACAACCTAGTCAAAGCTGGGATGAACTTTCTTTAGTCCCACTTCCAGGTTAGGATAAGTGACATTTAGCTCTATTCAGTGGCAAGCAGGCTCCATGCAGTGAAGGATTCCTATAATAAACTGTGCGCTCAACAATTTGTACAGGTTTTAAAATTCCTTATTCCACATATGCTTTCTTGTTCCCCTGACTTAGGAAACAACTTCCACCTCAATAAAGAAAATTGTACCATGTTTTAATTATATAAAAAATATTTTATTTAGATGAAAGTGATTTGTAACTGGTAGATTATAATTCTATCAAATAGAAGAAATTGCTATGGGACTTTTCAACTACTCCTTTTTGGTTAAAATGAGGGAAAATATGAAGGGATGAAAAATCATAAGTATTTTTTCAAATCTCTGAGTAAGCAGGTTCCCTTAAAACAAAATCTGTCTTTTAAAGCAAATTCTTCTTTATCTCTTTTCAGAAAGTGCCAGAAAAAAGCAGGAAGGTATCGTGGGCAGTTCTCGTGTATGTTTTGCACAACATACCCCGTCTCTTCCGGCAGAAAGTCCTCGGCCATTGAAACTTCGAAGCATTCTTGACATGAGCCCTTTTACAGTGACAGATCATACCCCAATGGAGATTGTAGTGGATATTTTCCGTAAACTGGGTCTGAGGCAGTGCCTTGTAACTCACAACGGGTAAGTTTGGTTAAAGAAATCAGTTCACTTATATCAGAATTGATGATCCTTTTTAGTGAAATCCATATGCAATGTTAGGGGAGAGTGTAAGTCAGCACTCCAGTGGGAAGTCTCTTTTAGTATGATTGTAAATTCGGGGTCTGTCACTCAGATTCACACTTAACAAAGTAAAAGAAAAATGTCAACAGTCAGCTCTTTGCCACAACATGAATTGACATTTGTCAAGAGCACTTCAGCATTGGCAGGGAGGTGCTAGAACCTCCCTCATGTGTATGCTCAGCATTTTCTTTCTTGGAGGGATAGTACTCATGCTTACTGCACAAACTTGTTTTGGTTTTTTGGTATTTCACTTGTAGAATATAATAATTCAATAATAGCTTTATATATTTTTGCTTTTTACTTACTGTTTCAACCATTATTTGGTTTATCATGTAATAAAGGAAATAATATATAGTTAAGTGAAATTTGTGAAATAGCTAAAAACCTCCTTTGCCAAATGCCTTGTTTCCTTTTTCTTTACCCACAAAACTCTTCTATAAACTTCTCATGACAAACACCCATGTGTTTAAAATGTATAAATTAATTTTTCTGTTTTTTTTATATAAGCTGTGTGTTTCTCCAGAATAGGAATATCGAAAAGTATTGTTTGGCAATGTCAAAGGGAATGTGGAGACAGTGCATAGTACGCCTAGCATCCTTGGTTGGATTCTATTTCCACTGCTCCCCTCTCTTCCTGTGCCAGGGGTCTGTTGCCCAATCCACTCTCTTTAGTGCTCTTTATTTCCTTATATTGCTGCTTCCAGTTGAAATGATTAAGAATGTCATTTTATCTGAAGGTGGATAACAAAGGCTAGAGACGAGAAGCGGGGATTTTGGATTATGCATGAATTGCATGGTAGCCCTGCAAAGTGTGAAGCAGGTTGAAATGCTAGACTCTTAGAGAATCACAACAGGTGTTCTGTTTTTTTTTTTTTTTAAGTCTGTGCAAAACATATGGGTGACAGAACACATGACCCTGTAGAGAAAGGAAGAAGAAGCAAAAGGAAGGAAATTTGTTTATAGCAATTCCTCTTCATGTTTCTCCTTTAACTTTGCCAACACTTCTGGGAAATATCTCTGCAAATGGACTATTGCAGCTGAAACAAGTGTAATAATTTACCCAGTCACATGTAGCAAGTCATAGAATCCACTGTCTTTGCAATTTGAAAACTTTGATGTCTTGCTTCTGTCTACACTGTTGCTGACTGATAGGATATAGTTTATTTCTTTGTGATTTCTTAAACCAATACTATTTTCTTGGACAATATATTAGGCTGTTTTGGGCTAGGAATAGAAATATAAAGCCTAGAGCATTGGATCCTTGTTTAGAGTTTTCACTGTGCTAGCCTATTAAAATAACTAGATGTTATGAAATAAATCATTAAAGGATAAAGCTCTTGAGGGCAGGGAAATTTTGAAATTGAGAAATATCAGTGATTGGCTAAGAGGTGTATATAGTAAAATAACTTCTGTTTAATTTTTTTAATTAAGTAAATAATACCAGACTTAACTATTTGAAAACTTAGTAAGTGCTTTAAGTGGAGTGACTTTTCCTAAAGCTTTACTGGTTCTGGGGCCCTTCTGTTATAAATAGGTGAATTGGAAACTAGCCTGAGTTGTTACCAACTTTTACTTGCTTTGAGTTGTTTTCTGTGTCTGGCAAGGTTTGACCTTCTGTGTACCAATAAATGTCATTCTCTAGTCATGAATAACTGATTACGAAGCTTTGTGGATTAATCGCCATATTTCACTTTGTTGATTAGCTCTCAGGTTTTTGGGACCAGAGATATTAGAAAGGGAAATATTTAAAAGAAAATGTAAAAGTGAGTAGCTGAAGTCTTACCTGATGCTGCCTGCTTGTAAAGACAGCTTGGGGAGGGAGTGACTTTTTTCTTAAGTAATCTGTTTAATTGCCTTGATTATATTTTTCTTGTTTCTCTCCTCCAAGGAAAATAGATCGATATTTTTATAAAGAAAAGAAATCATATGGGGTGGTGGCTCTTGATACTGTATTTTCATTGAAGTATGTAAGGAAATAAAGTGCCTTATTCTAACTTAAATTTAAATGAAGTCCTATCTTCAGGTTCTTAGTGGAAAGTATAAAGTACTAGATAAATATTAACATTTTTAGTTTATACTGAACCCTTTAGAGGTGGAATAGAACTCATTGGGGGAAGACACACAACAAATCCAGTAACCATAGATGCTTGAAGAAAAGAATAGCGAGATGAGGGGTGTTGCTGTAAATTTTAAAGATGTCAATTAGTTATAGCTTTCCTACATTTTTGTTAGCCAGGAGAATTTCCGAATCTTTTAGTCTTGGCGAAACTAACAGGATGTTAATTGGCATTGTTCAAAAAAAGTTTTGTGACCATGTAAGTTTTAAGTTTGCAAAATATTGAATTGAGTACAATTGAGGTTTCTTTGCTGTGGAACTTCTCAGAACTTAGAAAGTGTTGATGTTATTTGAATCTCAGAGGGGTAAAAGGAAGCATAACTTTCCAAACTTATTTGAACATATATTCCTTTTTCTGATGGAGCCCGAAAAGGGGCAGAAAAACTCTGATGGAGAAAAGGGACCGATGTTTCTTAGGACATACTTGGGGAAAATGCTGGGTTCTGCATTTTAACTCTTGCATCATTACTTTAGTTCAAATGGAAACAATACGTTATTCTAGATGTGGGTCACATTTTGCAGTGATTTTCCTTGCATTTCTTGAAATTAGTAAAAGCCGAGCTGAACGTTACCTTCATTTTTCTCAAATCACTCTTCATTAACTAATGAGTGCAAGTACCTATGTTTCCTCCTTTTTATTGCTATTGCATTGTGAATATAGAGATTACTTTGTAAATCTCTAAATTTGCTACTTGATCCTTAATAAATTTTCAACTTTTCTCATTGTCCTCCTGTAGCTTTACTAATAGAGATGTTAACCAGGATTAATCATCATATATAGTTAGCTAGAAAAATATGAGTAAGAAATAAAATGCAGTTATTTTATGTATTTAGTTGCCAAGGTTTTCACATATCCTGACACCAAGCATAAATTCAAGAATATTGATGATTTTTCACAAACCTTAAATGTTTTTGTCAGATAAGAACATCTATTAAATGACTACTTTATGGAGTACAATTTCTGAGCTATTTTTGAGGGGTAACTTACTTCCATGCTCTGAGAACTTTTCATCTTTATTCTTAAGGATTCCGTGTTTTTAAAATAAGAAAATATTAGCAGAGAGGCTGTTTCTGCTTCTCCACCCACCCATAGGCATCACTTATGTTTTTGCCACATCTGTATAACCAGATTACTTTGAGTAAGTGAAGTCCCCTGGTGACAGTGGCATTCTTCGAGCAGCCAGAATGTTCAAGTGAAGTTTAATAGTTATGTTGGCTTTAACCAAATCACCAGGGAAATGCCAGTTACCCTGACAAGCATTCTGGATTGATTTCTTTTTCTAGTTTATTTAAAACTTTTTATGGTTTTTTACACTCACTGTCTATATTGCCTATTGCCACAGATTGCAGTTGAGTTTATTGACTTTCATTATAAAAACCAGTAACTAGAATGTTATTTTAATAATTTCAAGCAGTCCAGTTATCTTCAGTGTCATGAGAATTTATGTCCATCATTTTGTTTGAAGTGATAATGATGATTTCACTGAGAAGTAATCATTATTTAGAGATAAAGCATAAAGTAAAAGTAACTTTGGTCCCCTATATAAATATACCTTATTATCTTCTTTTAAAAGTTGAAATGCATCACTTCCTGAAAGTTAGGAGGTGTTTCTATTGGTCAGCATTATTTTGTGCACGTTACCTTTAATTTTAATTCCAAAGAATGATAAAATCTAAGGGATTTCTTAAGTCTCCTGATAGATAATAAAGGGTATGCCATCTTCCACTTTTCTATCACTGAGATGTATCCAAATCATAGGTGCTGCATTGTGAGATTTTAGAAATTAGAAAAATATTTCTCTTTAAGAAAAGAACACTGGAAATGAAACTAAATTTCCAAAGGTCTATAGCTATGTATTAAGTTCCTTTTGTATTTTGTATTCATCTTCATTGTGAACTTTTGCAGTTTTCATTTTTAATTTGAAAAGGAAAACAACCCACCAATGTTTTAAAATAGTATGTCTCTTTTTAAAGTTGGTAGAATTTATTATGCAAATGGATGTGGGGTTTTAAATCATTTCTGTTTTTGTTGTTTTAAAGATCATTAAAAGCATTCTTATGTTCATGTTTTTATTTTTTTCTCTCATTCTTTATCATTATGATTGGAACCTCTTTTAATTTAATTTCTCACACAGTTATTAGCATAACATGATCTGTTTCAGGATTGTCTTGGGGATCATCACAAAGAAGAACATATTAGAACATCTCGAGCAACTAAAGCAGCACGTCGAACCTTTGGTGATTAGATATATCAGATCTCCTCATTAGACACCTTAGAAGTCAGGAAGCATGAAACTTGTGAACTGTTCAGTTCTCTCTTGCCCAGATATCTGCTGAACAACAAAAAAAATACTACATGCTGCCAATTACATTTGTATCATAAAATGTCTCTAAGATAAATTTAGATATGTATAAATTCTATTTATAGAAAGTAAGTAAAATTTAACATCTCTCAAAAAAAATCATTAGTTGCAATATAAGACCTGTAAACATTTTGGTAGTTGAATGAATAAATGTTGGCATTCACACAACAGTGTCTATCTTGGTGGATACACTAGTCTCAGGAGACACCAGCTTTACTGGTTATAAATGCCTGCTCCCACCCCAAGCCCTTTCTATTTCTTATGTTTCCTAATTTTGTGGTAGTCTTGTGGTAAATCTAAACTCAAAGATGATTTTAATCAAGCTTAGCAATGTTAGAATTGCTGACAGTTGGATGGATTTTTTTTATGGGCACACTAACTATAGCGTAATGTGTATATATATACTTGTGATCATATAGCATTTGTTCTTTTTCTGCTATACCCTGTGTACCTTCAAAGTCAAGAATATGTGTCCTGCCATTTCATTAGTGAATTGTACCTAGATTGTATGTGTAGCCCTTTCACATGATGTTTCTAGAATGCTATAAACAGCTTTTAGTGTCAAATGCATTTCTTTTTAACTGGCTTTATGTCCCAGTGGTTTCATGAATAAAGATAAATTTTGAATTATCTTACCGTATAACCTAAAATTGTCTGACTTTAGCAATTAATACCTGAAGTTAATTTGCCCTGCAATTGCCACACTAGATAAAACCTGTCCCAGTTTGCTTAAGTACACAACTAAGTATGTAATCCTGTTATTTGCTAATATTTCACAAGTGTTTCATGCATCCTTTTTTAAAAAAAACAAACTACTAACAGAATAATAAGTAACTACTCATTCATTCTGCTTCCTGCTTACCTATAATAATCTTTTAGGACTGCTTTTTTGATTTTTCACTTATCTTTCAATGTCAGCATTAACCACTAAGACTTTCATGAAAGCACCGTATCTTAACTTTTTTGGCCAAAATCAAAAAAGAAAACGATGTGTGTAGTAGAAACTTGGGTTGTCTTACAGATTTTTCCTTTGGGTTCTGAAGTTTGGGATTGAAGTTTTGTGTTGAGCATTTTAATATGCATCTTACCTCAATTGTATGTGCCTTGCTGAAGATTCTACATACAACTGGGCAATTCTTAAATTATTTTTTTAAAGCTTATTTTGGTTTAAAAAAGGGAACTATTCAGGGAATTTAGTCATCAGACATCTTACTGCTTTTTTGATGTGATGGGAATGAACTGCTCAGATGGAATTGGTATCATTTCTTATTCATACATTCATTTTTTGGTTACCTTTTTGTTGGCATACATTAATCAATATAGCTCTACTTCAATGAGGCATGCCCTCAGAATCGCAACAGAAAGGATATTGTACCATTAGTGACCATAGTACTTTTTATATCAAAGGATGGTTGCTGGATAATTTAATTATCTTTACCAATAAAATATTTTTGAAACTAAAAATGAGACTACTTGCTTTGCTCTACTCCTGTCAACAAAAAGAATTTAGTGATAGATCTAGCCTCTTTTTCTTTTCCTTTTTAATAGCAATCTTCTGTTTATCCCTTTCAGACGCCTCCTTGGCATTATAACAAAAAAAGATATCCTCCGTCATATGGCCCAGACGGCAAACCAAGACCCCGCTTCAATAATGTTCAACTGAATCTCATAGATGAGGAGAGAGAGGAAACAGAAGAGGAAGTTCATTTGTTGAATAGCACAACTCTTTAACCTGAGGGAGTGAGTCGTCTACATTTTTTTCTCCTTAAAAAAAAAAAGGAATTACAAAAGCCGGGCTTTTGCATCATGGTTTGCAAATAATGCTGGTGGAGTGGAGTTGTTTGGGAGGGAAAGGAGAGAGAAAAGGAAATGAGTGAGGGATTTTCCCCATCTAACTGAGAGCAGCAAATCAACTCCTGTTCTGCACTGGATGCATTCAGCTGAGGATGTGCCGTGATAGTGCAGGCTTGAGCCGCAAGAGGGGACAGCAGCGCCCACCCACCCGCCTGCCTGGGAGCACCTGGCCTGTTATTCCAACTTCGCATAGAGGCACTATCAGTCCCCATTTCTGGAGGGATTACTTTGAATTGAGCCATCTTTAAGACTGCAAGGTCTTGCCCTTTTTTTTAATCAAAACTGTTCTGTTTAATTCATAAATTGTAGAGTTAAGCATTACCTTTCTACATTCCAGAAGAGCTTTTATTTCTCTCTCTCTTTCTCTCTTGAGCTGTAACAAAGCCTCTTTAAATTGGTGTACCCTTTTGAAGCAGTCCTTTCTCATATTGAGATGTACTGTGATTTTACTGAGGTTCCATCACAAGAAGGGAGTGTTTCTTGTGCCATTAACCATGTAGTTTGTTCCATCACCAAATGCTTGGAGCAGTCACATGCAACGCAACAAAGGCTGAGCAAACAGGTAAAATCCTGAACGCAAGCGTCAGCGAAATCTCTCAGCGTGTGTGCTATGTGTTTCAGAATCAACAATGAAACTTGACTTGTAAGGATAAACAATTTTCTTTTTGTTGTTTTTTTTCCCTCTCAGACTTTATGGATAATGTGACCTTGTCTTATGCAAATTCTGTATTTCTAAAACTACTGATATATAAGTGCTGTTCAGCATAAGGAAACAAAAATGCTGCTTTGACAGGAAAGAGAAGGAAGTATTCTGTTTAGCTGTATCTGGTATTAATTGCATGTTTAAACACTGGAATTTTTTTTCTTGACGTTAGATCAGTCATTTTTTTCTTTCTTCAAGATACTTCACTGCTGACACTGAAGAAGAAATGTAATTCATAACTTGCACTAAATGTATATTTCTTTTCTTAAAAATTTACCATTCTTATTTATATTTTTATGGATTAAAATTTATAAAATACAGATCAGTTAATATCGCACAAATAATTTTACCTTTTTAATGTGATTTTTTATAGACTAATTCAAACTTACAAATATGGAGATATGAACAAAGTTTACAATGGGAACAAGGGTTTAAATGGAGGTCGTGGTTATTTCTCTATGATCCAATGTGTACATAGGCATTTTTCAAATCTTTCACTGCCATCCCTTGGATTATGTCTTCTGACCTGTCCATTTTGACTCATTTACTGGAAAGTTAAAAATACTGTTACTTTGCAGATTAAAACCAAAAGCTAGTGTTTTTAAAAAACACTTAAAAAAAAAAATCAAGCAATTGCAAAGGTAGCAATTATAATTTTAATCTAAACATAACCTTTAATCTTTGGGTAGTCACATCCATAACTGTTCAATGATGTTTTGAATATCCATGGTGTACATTTTGCAGGATGAATTGAAATAACTGAGGTATGTTTGGAAGTTTTGATTTTGGGAATGTCTGTCATAATTAATCATGGTCTTAATTCATAGTTGGCAAAGGCAATTTTCTTGAAGGACTGGCCTAATATTCTGTGATTCTGCATTTTTGGTAGGAACATGAATTTTTGCAGACAGACATATTCTGAAACATTACAGGCAATGAACCATTTTTACATTTTGGAAGTGACTTCTTAATTCTTAATGATAATATATCTGTAAAATCTTTAAGATCACGTAAGATCTGTAAGATCATGAAGCCATATTAGAATGACAATTGAAAGTTGATTAAAAGTTTAGGAGTTTTGTTGGATATTCTTAGTTGTTCTGCTTAAGATTAGTATTTTTTCCTAGTTACTTCCTCCCTTTGGCAGACTTCAAATTTTCTTAATGACTCATTCAAAGTTCATTTGGCCATTTAGAATGAAATTATTTCTAAGTGCTAGCTTTGCATAGCTTACTTCTGACATGTCCTGAGTGTATTTGCAGCATGAAAGGCAATGCTAGAGCATGAGCTTCTCGGCATTGGCAGTTGAATAACTTAATTGCTTGTCCTGAGTTACAAGCCTTCAAAGAAGAAATTGGTTTCTTTGCAGATAGTGTCATATTTTCAACTTCACATAGATTTTATTTTCCACGTTTCCTTTTGATTTCAGGTCCTCTGTTCATTGCCCATCCTGCTACAGATACTGACAATACAGGGTGGATATCAAGGTGGATATTAATTTTCTTGTATATTTCTTTCCCTGATTTGTTTTACTGCTGAAATACAGGAAAAGTGCCGTCTTTCTAATGTGTTCAGTAGTTTTCTTTGGTAATACTCTGGTAATACTTTTCTTTTTGATATGTTGAGGTGTGTCTGCTTTTCAACTGAATGAAATGGTAGAGACCATGAAATATACATGCCTGATTGGCAAATTAATTGAGCAGTATAAGTGGAGCACCTTATTGAAGTACCCTTTTTGAGAAAGTTTGATAAGAATGGGCAAGGGTGTCAGCATCTCTTCTTATTCATTATTGTTTTCAATTTTGGTTCATGAAGAATGCTTAGTTTGTTAATCTGTGATGTTGCCTAGAGCTGTATTTATCTGTTTTTATTTATACCAGTGTAGTAAAGCTGCATATCATTACAGTAAAGATGATTACTGTGATGAGTTAATCAGAAAATCTATTAAAATCTATATGACAATGTGTGGTTTGGCCTTTAATTATATCTGTAATAGTACTCCATTTTTACTGCTGCTCTATGCAGTGTGGGCCAATATGCCTGGCGTGCAACCTTGAAGGGGGTGATATATGTAATGGTTCTCTCATGTTAAAAAGCCGTATCTGTCCTTTGTGAGCAAGGATAGATGCTGGATTGAACAGCAGGGTAGATTTTTTTTAAAAAAGATTTATTTATTTATACAAGAGCTGGGGTACAGGCCAGAGGTGCAGGGGGCGAGAGGATTCACCAGAGAGAGAGCGGGGGCAGAACAGGCAGATGGCCCTAAAGCACTGCTGAGGGGAGAAGTGGGCAAGACAGGAGAGGTCTGCTCCGCCATGTGGGTATCTCCCTGGCTGGCCAGGAATCGAACCCGTGCTGCAGAGGCTGCGGACAGCTTCACAGCACTGTGCTCAACCCGCTGCACCACCGGAGAGGCCCTGAACAGCAGGGTAGATATAAAACTTGCAATATACGGTTTTGCAGGAAGTTTGCAGATTTGCAGGAAGATTTCATTTCAGTGTATGTTCAAAAACATAATTTCTTTAAAGAGAAAAATTATATTTGCATGAAGAGAAAACTTGTATTTAAAAATTACATATTTTTGGGCCTCCCTGGTGGTGCAAGGGGTTTAGCACTGCGCTATGAAGCAATCTGCAGCCTCTGCAGCATGAGTTTGATCCCTGGCCAGCCAGGGAGCTACTCATATGGCGCAGCAGACCTCTCCTGACTCGCCCGCTGCTCCCCTCAGCAGTGTATTTCAGTCAGTGTGCCTGTTCTGTTCCCCACTCTGTCACTGGTAAATCCTCTCACCCCCTGCATCTCTGGTCTGTACCCCAACTTTTGTATGCATAAATAAATAATTCTTAAAAAAATTATGTATTTTTTAAAAATTACCTTGGAAATTTGCTACTTTACATTGCCTAAAAGGAGGCGGTAACGTGGTCTTCTGATATCAAATTCTTGGTAAAGAGAAAAACACTTTACTAGAATGGCCAGGGTAGATCTTTTATCATTGGTTTCATTTGAATGAAATAGTCATTGAATATGTACTGTGTGTCAGACACTATTCCTTATGTCCTTGAAGCTTACATTCCAGTCGGGAAAAAGACAGATGTATAGTTAATGTCAGATGATGATAAATATCAAAAACTAATTAGTTCAGGAAAAAAGGTTTTGGGTGATTCCCTTGCCACATAAATCAGGCAAAAATTCCCAGGCCAATGGAGAAAAATAAATAACTTAATGGAGAGGATGCTGTTTTTTATAGAGGTTAATCAGAGAAAGCCTCCAGATGAGGTGACATTTGAGCAAACTTGTAAAGGAAATGAGGGCATGATAAGGTTATTTGTGAAAAAAATTTTCCAAAAAGAGAAAACACTATATGCTGGCATCCTGAGGTAAAATATGCCCAACTGGTTCCAGGAACAACAAGTGGGTCATTGTGGCGGGAGGGGGAAAAAGTATGAGGGAAGAGGTTGGGGGTGTGGGTTTGGCTTTGCTTCTGAATAAAAGGGGAAGCCAGTGGAGCCAAGTGACATGATCTGACTTAACACGCTCTCTGCTCCTACCACGACTACAGAAGGGGAGAAGCAGAAGGCTGCTGGGATGATCCAGTCTAGATATGATAGACCCTTGACATTGACTGAAGCTGGGGCAAGTGTTTAAAGTGGTTGGATTGTAGACATTTTGAAGGTAGATAGACAGGATTTGCTAATGGATTCAAAGGTTTTGGCCAGAATCACTACAGAATAAGAGAACAGCCAGTCAATTGGGAAAGACTTTAGGATGAATAGGAGTGTGAATACAGGAACTTTGATTTTAAATACGTTAAATGCCTGTTAGACTTCTAAGAGGGGAAGCCAAGCTGGCAGTTGTATATCTGAGACGAGTACAGGAGAAAGGTCCAGCCTGAGAGTTGTAAATATGGAAGGCATTCTGGGACAGGATGAGGCACCGGGGGACGAACTGACAGAAAAGAATGAAGCATATATAAGCTGTTATTTGGGGAGATGAAGTTCAGCAAAAGAGGAAGTATTGACATGGAGCGTCAACCCCTAAGTCAAATGAATAATTTCAAGAAGGCTCAATTGTCAAGTTTGCTGCTAGATAAGCAAAGTGAGGACTGAAAATTGGCCACGTGATAATTGTCCAAAGAGGGATCAGGCAAAAGCCTGGAGATGGGAAGGAGACGAAGGCAGCTATTGCAGTTTCTACCTAGAAGCTTTTAGAAAAGGGGTGTTGTAAGACCTAGGAGAGCATTTTGTTGTTGTTGATGGGAAATGTCCAACGGGAGAAACTGATGATGCGAGGGGCAAGGTCCCAGGGGAGGGGGGCTCTTGGGCACATACTGGGCCATTAAGCAACATGCCCAGGAGAAAATGCAGTACTGGGCGGTAGCGTGGTGGGATTTTGTGGAAGTTATTTTTCTAGTTTTTTTTTTTAAGATCGATTTATTTATACAAGAACTGGGGTACTGGCCAGATGTGCGGGAGGGTGAGAGAATTCACCAGAGACAGAGTGGGGAGCAGAACAGGCAGACTGATGAAATACACTGCTGAGGGGAGCAGCGGGTGAGGCAGGAAAGGTCCGCTGCGCCATGTGGGACCCTCACAGGCTGGCCAGGATCGGACCCGTGCTGCAGAGGCTGCGGGCAGCTTCACAATGCGGCGCTCACCGCCTGCACCACCAGGGGAGGCCCTATTTTTGTAGTTCCTTGGTGAACAAATGGGGTAGGGAGTGGAGGGGCAGTGGCTTGTCTGAGGAAAGATGTGGAAGTAGAACTGATGGAAAACAGCACAGCCAACTTGAGGTTTAAATGAAACCAGCTGTCATAGTTGTATTTTTTTCTCCAGCCCCCTGGGAGCAGTAGCAGGAGTAGGCAGCTTTGTATCAGGCTTAGGTTCTAACATAAGTACAGGTAACGGGTGAGCAATGGAATGGAGGCTGTGTAGTAATACCGGGGGTGTAGGGGGTGGGATGAATGGGCTAGGTGACGAGGGAAGCAAGACAAAGTGTTTAGAAGCGTGAAAAAAAGGTGGTTGTCAGAGTAGCGATTTATAGGGCATGATGGAATCGAAAAGTTGTTAAAAGCTAGGGTATTAGGGGGAGAGAAGTGAAAAGATGAGTGATGTTGGGTAACAGGATACTTGAGATTGGGAGGATTTCATTCTTGGTGCTGACAGTTTCTCGGGTATAACTTTGGAGTTTGTGGCTGAAATGTGGCACTGTTCAGATCAAGGGGCAACAAATTGTTTCTGATTAAGTGCCAGACAGTAAGTATTTTAGGTTTTGTGGGCCAATCTTTCCAGTTACTCACTTTTGCCTTTGTAGCCACATATAATACATAAACAAACAGGTGTGTTTTACAAAAACAAGGGGCGGGCCAGATTTGGCCCTAGTTTGTCACCCTCTAGTCTATGTCATTGAGTAAACCGCGAAGTTCAGGGTCTTGGAAAGCTCTGTAGGTACTGAAATTAAGAATTATGACAGGAGTATTTAGACAGAATGATGTTAAGCTGTAAGGTTGGAGCTAGTGCAAAGGTAGCTATCACTGCAGACATACAGTTTATAGCAATATCTTATTTTGTTGGGTATAGCATTCTGTGATTCAGAGGTTCTACAGACAGGCATTAAGGCCCTGAAAGTGAGCTTAGCTCAATATGAATTGGGTAATGGATTTCTGTTATGTCCCTGATTGGGTCAAAATGCCACATTCATGAAAGAGTCTCAGGGACTTAAACGGTGTTCTCAGAGAACAGAAGTAGACTGGAACTGCCTTTAGCCAGAGTGGCCAGGCCCTAGTTAGATGTACTTATAAACTAGGTTTCAATTGACTGCTTTTCATGAAGGAAACAGGAAAGAAAGGAAGGCTTGGCATCCTGTAAAAAGTTTGGTCTTTAGTGAAGTGTTCAGTTGTTGGAAGATCAGTACTTCCTGAAACAAATTACTGTTTGACACAACTGGTTGGGTTTGGGGCTAGAAATCCACGTTTGTTATCTCCTGATAGTATCAAATTATAACTGCCATATTCTTGGCAGCATTGGTATCCAAATTGTCTTGGTTCTGATATGCCCAGCATTTTAAAGATACACATTCATGTTATGTTTATGTAAGGAGTGGATGAAAAGCCAGTCCTTTTTTCGTTCCCTTTAATTTGTTCCTTGATAAGAAATCCTATTGGAATCCTTACTACTGATCATAGGAAAGCACTGAAAAAAATCTTACAAATGTACCATACATTTGAGACAGCTGGATCAAGTGAGCTGCTTGTAGGAGTACATGAGTCATCTAAAGACACTGTCAAAATGCAGTTCAGTAGATCTGGGGTCAGCCGCTGGGGAGAGTGCTAGGCACTATCATGTCTAAGTTTAATTCCCTCTGTCCTCCCACCCAGAAAGCCAATCCTTAAAGTTACAGTTTTTATCAATTGAAGTTTCAGAAGAATTCTTTGTTGCCTTATTGAACTAGGACTCCTGGGAGCTATCACAGGTGTTAGGCAGTGACTGCCTATAGCAAATTAAGAGGATGACTTTGGTTGTCTTCCAGAATGTGATTAGGATCACATCATTTGGATGTTTTGACTGTCATTTTACTGCATTTGGAAAAAAAGAAAACTAGGCCAGAAGAGCCTTATGGAAGTTTTTAGTAAATGTTTCCAATTTATTTTTTGTATTCTTTAAAAACAAAACAAAAATCACAAGTTCAACACTAATGCTTTAAGATATTGTATATCAAAGAAAGCCAGTTCTCACTCAGGCTGCAAGTTGGTCTATGTTCTCTTTACTTCTATTTGCCAGATGATCTTGAATAATTTCTGCAAAGAGATTCCTTTTCAACAGATTATATGCAAGAGGTAAAAGCTGGCCAGCAACTTTATGAAAGTACTGAAAAATAAAAACACAACATTAAGCAGAGAATATAAGGTACCTTAGTAAAGTATATTGAAAAAGCATTTGCTTAGCAAAATGTGTCTTCAAATCACTTTAATGACTATCTCAATTGATTTAGAAACAGTTAATTTTGAGAGAGGCACCTGGCATTCTAAGAGGCGGTCTTGTAGCTCTAAAAGACGAATGACATATCTTGAAGAAAATTCAGAAGAGATTAAAACTTAAGCTTCCCTATTTCTTTAGATAAGGTTTATCAACTTTTGCCCCAAATTATACACTCAAATGCTTCTTCCTACTTTTCAGTGTATCCACACCAGTTAAAGATTTTGATATTTTAAGAGTAAGTATGCTGAATGTGATGAAATTCCCCTTTATTTTCATTTTCAAATTCCTTCTCTTCCCCCCACCCACCATGTAACCCCTCCATCCATCAAGTTGCTACCTTGGGTATATCAAATGATTTCAAGACTATTGCCATTACATATACATGAGCAGAAAAACTGGCAGTGCTTTCGTTGCTGATAAATATTGAGTAGCACTTACTCGGTGGTAAGCACTGTGCTGAGTCTTTTCATTTATTCTTATATATTACTTGGTTCTCACAAACATCACATTTCCTATTAAGCTAGTTCACATTTTATGGCTCTATTTACAACTGGGTCCCTTCTGGCAGGCCAAGTGCTATTGTGGTTGGTCAGTGACTCATCTGGCTATTACACATCTTGATTATTTTTGCTGGTAACCGTATATGAGGTAGACAGAGAAAGGCAGTGATACAGTTTAGAGCAGAGTTCACAGAATATACTCCTTGGACCAGTGGCACCAGCCAGACCTGGCAACTTGTCGGAAATGCAAATTCCCATTTTGAAAATAGTATTTATTCTTCATCCAGAAATTTAAGCACAAGAACAAAGACCTCCAGCCACAACAGACAAATGGAGCCCTAGAAAAGGTATATGTTCCTTTCTACCCACATGCCAACTACAAGGCACATCCTTTATGTCTATTAAGTAAATTCATTTTCATATAAACCTGATAAATAATCTTGGCTTTTCACCTTTGCCAGAATACAAGGACAACTGATAAAAAAATCACTCCAAGAAGTTCATTTTGAAACACAAGCTGAATGTAAATCCTATCCATGCTAGAACTTGGGGGCATAAATGTGCAGACAAACCTGGGGGGGGGGGAGGGGGGAAGGGCTGCAAGGGGGTGAGGGAGGTTTGATGTCTGGGAGGTGGGGTTTTTTTACTCACGTGTGAGCCATAACAGAAGAGGTCCATTCCCAACTCCAGCCCCATGCCGTAATCACATTCATCGTTAGCAAACTGCACAAAAGTCATCATTTCCTGAATGGGAGCAAAAGCTTTCAGTCTCTCCTCATCACTTGGTGCCTCAGCAATAGTCTTGCAGATTCTCTTGAGGTCAGCTGAAAGAAAGCAATTACTTACAACCATCTTCAAGGATAAAAAGACTGTATGCCAGTTTTCCTCAGGTAACTTTTATACTCATAACTAATGCCACGTTGGTTGGCACTATAATTTATAATAATCTCAATTATATATTTTCCTCCTTAAAATCTAAACATAAAGATGGCTTACCAAAAATTTCCTATATTAGCAAAATATGACTGACATAGTGAGTAGATGTGATTTTTATATAAGCATTCAAATATTTTCAGGGATCTGTGACCTATGGTCAAAGTAGACCCACTCCCTGCTTTTAACTACCCTCACACAGTGTTTTTAAATGGTTGGAAAGAAAAAACAATGTGACAACAAAGACCTCTGTGGTCCATCCCTGGGCTAGTCATTGCACTGTATTTGGAGCTGGACTACATAAAAATAAATGAAAAATATAGGAATGTCAGGAGGCAAGAAATCATTGCAACATTAACCCCTTTATCGAAGTGGGGGAAAAGTATGGCCACGGCAAAAGTGTAATTTGAGGTAGGAATATACAGAAGATTTCTAACATTTACCTAAATTTAAAACACCACTGGTTGAAAACATTATAGCATTTCAACACTTCACTACTTTCAGGATGCCAATGGGCATCAGCTGTCAGGATGTATATGAGAAGGAAGGTAGTAAATCACAGCAAAGACCTTTTAAACTACTACCTTGAGGACAGACACGCCAGTAAGGGAAAGAATGAATATTACTCAAACCAACTGTCTTCACTATCTTGTTTCATTATCTTTTCTGGGCAAAGTGGCTGCTCTACTGGGGGAATAGAGGGTTGGTTAAAACACTAACCATCACACCTAAGAATGATAACGTGATTTTAAGTTCTATGCAATTCTGATACCAAAAATAGAAGGTATGATTAGCAAGGGTGGTGAAGATATACGAGGGCTTGTAACCTGCTCTGTGATATCACCCAAGAGATTCATCTGTGACTGCCACACAGAATGCATGCTTTATGTGAGGTCACCAGACGTATTCTCTTGCCCACCTTAGGTATATCACATTAGACAAATGATGACGTTTATCACTTATGGCCCTGAAAATAAAAGTAGTGACTGGTTTATCAGGTTTAAACCTTTTATATAAGCTTTGTGACCTTACTGTGTCTTCAGAAAAAAAAAAATCAGTGCTTATCATTTCAAGGCTGATGTATAAACCTACTTCTCAATAGAAGGGAAGCCTTGCTTCACATATATTAACATACATTCACATATGCACATGTTTACATTAAGCTACACCTTACCATCTGTTTCAGGGAGCTCTCTGTACCCAACATCATTTTTATCTACTGGGACAACCAAACCTGCACCATGAAAGGTCTTTGTCACGACCTAAATAAAAGAAAAAAGATAAAATTTAATCACGGTAAAAAGATAAAAACAAAAATCTCCCCGTCAAAGTATATACACAAACGATTTTGTGAAAATGTAATAACATTTCAGTAATTTGGACTCCAAGTCAAAAGTTTAACATTTCTTTCCTTTAAATTAGCTAAAAGTAGTAGTCAAAATAAGGAAGACAATGAAATCATTGACTTTTACTAATCCTATCAATCATGTAGAAATCTGCAGCCTGATTTAGGAAAGAACTCCTATTAATAGGAGGATCAGCTTCCAAGTATCTTCTAGGTAGAAGACAGGAGCTGAGCCTGGAAGGAAGATAGCAGGAAGATGTGGTAGGATGGAATTCATCTCAACCGTCTTGCTAAAATTCAAGCTCCGTATTTTCACTTGGAAAATTCAGAATTGTGTGTGTAACTTCCCCCAAAATAGGGCAGTTTCTAGTTTTGTGGTGGCCTTTATGGAGGCAAGTGACTTAACCCATGAGCTTTCAAGTGCTGAACTTCAAAGCTCCACTCTTCAAAGACAGGCTCAACCACAACGACCATCAGACACGTCCAGTCTGTTCTTTTTTAAATTTACACTAGTGGAATTATTCTTAAGTCTTAACACCCATTTCTTTTTGTGCTGCAATGGAAATTCCTGAAAGAAAAGGACACAGTCCCCAAATATCTCATCGGCCTCTGAAACATTTCACTCTAGAGTCCCCACTGTCTTGTTTCATTATCTTTACTAAGCTACCAGAAGGGACAGAATATTCAGAACAATTTCTCAACTGCTCACCATTTGGGAAGTCATAGTTATGCTTTCTTCTTTTTTAAGATTTATTTATGCATACAAGAACTGGGGTACAGGCCAGAGGTGTGTGTTGTGGGGGCAGACTGTGAAATACACTGCTGAGGGGAGCAGCGGGTGAGTCAGGAGAGGTCTGCTACGCCATGTGGGTTGCTCCCTGGCCGGGGATTGAACTCATGGTGCAGTGGCTGTGGACAGCTTCATAGGTTGTGTCTTAACCCCTTGCACCACCAGGGATGCCCCTATGCTTTACTCTTTCTACCAAAATAACTGTAGTTGAATTTCAGGATTTAATCTAATAATAAAACCATGTAGATTTGACACAAAAACCCAAGTGCAAAATTAAAACAAAACAACTGATGAAAAATATCTGTAGTATAGGCATAAAATTAATAGATTAGTGACTGTTGAGGGATCCAGTATTTTTACATGTCAACATCTAGAGAATTGGTAATGTAATTTTTCTTAGTTTGTCTAGTTTGGGCAGGGGACCAGGACAAACATTCCTACAAAATTAAAAACCCCACATCATTTCTAGTTATGGGGAAGAATTAAGCCAATCTACTCTGAAATTATAGTTGATGGTAGAAAAATAAAACAAGGCTTTGACTAAAGAGTCTGCAACAGCTATTTCATCCATAACCCTTGTTTCAGTCTTTAGCTTTCTTGTTAATGTGTACGTGAAAACCACAAGGATCCAATACAGAAGTATGTCCCACTTTACCAAATACTCCATGCTTGCTGCACACATTAGGAGAGACACAAAGAAAATGTTGATGGAATAAGGGAAGAGGCTGCTTATATACAGTTTCTGGAGAAATAATACATACTGTCTCTCAAAAGCAGCTTATGGCTAAAGCTCTCTAAGGCATACTTTAGAAAAACTGCCTCTCCAAAACACCTTGCACTAAATCAACAGACCTTAGCTATTAACAAAGGGAAAGAAACACAGCCTGCAAAGTAGCTTCCACTCAATTCTATGAAATCAGTTACTAATAAAATCAGATTAAAGGAATGGGGAACACTTTCATTAGTTATGCAACCACAGTAGCAGTGTGGCATCAAGTGACTTAGCTCACACTCCACTAGAGGCCGCTGAACTGCACCTGGGTGCTGCCCTCCCTCCTGGGGGGAGGTATCTGGCAGCCCCAGGGAGTCTGAATTGGGGGGCATCCAGTTCTCAATAGGAGACAGCTAGAAAAGAGAAGGATAAGGTGCAGGTGGGAAGGAAGCAACAGAAGAAAAACCCTATTGAAAATAGGAAGAGACTAGCAGATGAAATCATACTTTCTTATCTCTCTGCTTCATCTTCATGGTTCTCTGTTCCAGTGAGTACCCCAGTTCTCTCGCTGCTTCAGTAAGTTTTTCATCTATATTTTTCAAGAGATTAGTTTTCTTTTTATCTGTTACTTCTTTAAGTTTTTTCATCAAAAATAACCTGAAAAAGAAGTAAAAGCCCTCATTATGTTGCTGGCCACTGTGAGTACATGGACCTTTGAAAGTTAAGGGAGCTAAATTAAAAACATCAAATTCCATGCAAGACTGAGACTGCAGAGAAATTACCAACAGTTCTCTCAGAATCCCTAGGAGACTTCCTCAGGCAAGGGAAAAGCAGTATTAATAAAAAGCTGTCAGTCACAGAAACAGCAAACATGATTTGAGTTTGCATTACCGCTAATGTCTAAAATAAATACATAAGGGATATTTAAAAAGCTGAGATTCAGCCAGGTTGCATCACTTGATATCGAGATAAGGCACACTGCTCTGGCACAACACAAAAAAACCTGCATGTTGACACAAACATGCTTTTATTTGTAAAGAACCAGGGAATTGTTACAAGACTTAAGATCAGCAGATTTAAGTTTGGTAAATTTAGAAAATACAAAACAAAAGCAAAATTACTTTATAAGCTTATACAAAAGTACAATCCAAAGTGCTTTTTAAAGGTCATGTGAATGGTATAATACAGTAATGCCAGTTGCAGAAGCAGTATTATGTTTTATTATGAGAACGTTAAGATTTTTACTAGCAGAGCAGAAGGTCAAGAGTAAAATAAAGAGCCAAACCAGCACTCAGTCCAAAACACAAGATGATCCTCTTCCTCCAGAGCCATTACCAGATTCCCAGGAGGAAATTCACTTCTATTCACTGCTATCACTTGAGAGTTTGTCATAGGCTGGGGACTGTAAGGGGCTTAGAGTAGTTGTAGTGGTGCTATCCTTTCCGCCCTTCTACACATCAGGGTACTGAGGCCTACAGGATGATAATCAACTTGCCCAAGTTTATAAAGCTAGTAAGAGCAGACTGAGGTGCCATAGAAGCTGAAACCACTAAAATCATGGTCCTCCGATTACAGCACTCATGTACATATATTACCTTCAATCACAGCCAATTGTATCAAGACAATATGTTCACATTTAAAGGGCCAAGTGTTGATGTCAGGCCCATGTATGTTAATATTCATCTTCCTTAACATCTTGGGTGTGTGGGCCTTCAAGTAGTTGGTGCTAGTCGTTTTCATACCGCACACACTGTTCCCTCACCTATAAACCCTTCCTGCCCATTCTTTCTAGTAAGTTCTAGGCCTGGATAAAATATCCCCTCTGAGGATTCCCACCACTTATGTAAGGTACTTAGTGGCTGTTTTCCCCTATTTTCAAATGACCACCTCTTTCTTTTAAAAGAAGATTTTTAATTAGATGAATAAAACAAACGGATGGTTTTGCATGCCCAAATATCTGTAGAATGAATAAATTTATGGAGCACTATGGGCAGGTACTATTCACAAGAAAGCCACTGCCTGGGATTGACATCTGGTGTGAGAGGCACTATGCAAGTAAACTACGGTTTCAGATAAAGATGCCACAATTTAAGTTGAATGATGCATCTAAAGGGCTTAGAAGAACTATGTCAATCATAAATACCCAGCAACATTTTATATAAAACTCAGAGGCATCAGAAGAGAAAGAGCCCTTTTTCGACATCCACAATGTCGTCACTCTTTAGAATTACTGGTGTGTACACATTAGTCCAGTGGGTACACTAGGCAGACTTAAATTCTGTTGACTGAAATCCTGTACTTTAAGACATAGGGAATAACAGTCTTTTTAAAAGGAATTAAAATAGCTCACATAAAAACATCTATATACTTTAATATTAAACTATTTTCTTCACTTTATTACAATATAAACTGCACAGCTGCTGACTTAGGGCTTCTCATCATGCCTGTGCTAATAGAGCGTGGACTGGCTCACTCAGTCCCACACCAAGCCCCTTCCATCTGAGAGCACCTGCATCTCCCACACTACCTTCAGCTCGGACTCCACACAGGACCAAGTGTCTCCCAAGCAGATGCAATTCTTTGAAAAGGGAAAGGCAGAAGAGCTTGTGCTTCTGCCGTTTCCCCCAGTGAGCACAGACAGAAACACCTGATGTAGCACAGCAGCTGCAGCGGAATCCCAGTGGCTGGTCCTTGACTTCCGGGGGGTTGAGAGGCAGAGGGCAGGGCATCCAGTTCACTGGCACAGGTTCTATCAGAGACAATGTGAGCCAGGGGCTACTCGTTGTCACAGTTCTTGATTTCCAGCTTCCTGATGGTGGCAGAGACTGAAAATCCATTGGTGAGCTACTTCTGTCACACCCCGGTAATTCCTGGAGGCTCAGCTCTCCATTAGCCCTTCCAAGGACTCTGCTTTAGAGTATTAAGTCTTTCTGTTTGAACTACATACAATGGGTTCTTAAAATGAACTCTTAATGATGGTATTTAAAATAAGATGTCTAAAACATCTTTTGATTTTGCCATAGGACAACTGAGATTAAGATAACAATTTCATGAGACAAAACAGTAAGTTACATAGGAGATACATCTATTGGTGAAAAATAAAAGTGTGGATAATACTACCTGCAAAAGTCATAGACATGATCTCTAGAATTCTACCATTTGGAGTTACTGCAATTCCCTTTAGTGCATGAAAATTGTAAACAATTATAAATAGGAGAGGGAGTGAAATAAAAATTTTCTTACTTGACTGCAGCAAACACATTATCTCCATTTTGAAGAATTACACAATTTTTACTTGCTTCATTTGTACCAACAAATACAGGAAGCTCATCAGGAGAATCCCTGTTTAAGCAAAAGGTATTAAAAATTTAGCTGCCCATAATTTTTGAGTCTATAGAAAACAATTTATATCTGCATTTTTAAAAAATCAGGATGAGGGCCTCCCCGGTGGCGCAGCAGTTGAGCGCTGGGTTGTGAAGCTGCCCGCAGTCTCTGCAGCGCCGGTTCGATCCCCGGCTGCTCCCCGGCCACCGGAGGAGGGTCCCACATGGCGCGCAGACCTCTCTGCCGCCCGCTGCTCCCCTCAGCAGTGTACTTCGGTCCTTCTGCCTGTTCTGCTCCCTGCTCTGGCTCTGGTGAATTCTCTCACCCTCCCGTGCTTCTGACTGTACCCGGTGCATGTATAACCAACCAAACAAACAAACAAATAAATAAAGCATGCCTCTATAAAAAAAAAAAAAAAAAAAAAATTAGGATGAATTTAGGCCCTAAGATCCTTGGGACTATCTATGACAAATCTGGATTTATATAACAGAACCTAAAATTAAGATTCTTTAAGGCGTAGTTACTTTTATACCTAAACACAAAGCTGGGGGTGGGTGGGTGGATAAAGCCTCTTCAAAGAAGTAGGGAAAATTACACAGGATAATCTCTACCCTAGTTTTATAGTCTACTTAAAAAAACAAAAGGTGGGAGAAACACACAAAAAACCCCAGACAGAATTATAAAGCAGAGCTGAAAGAATCCAATTCACATATATAACATTCTTTTATTTTACAATAGGAAAAAAATAGAGGTGACTCAGACAAGGTCCTAGCAATTAACAGCAAAGCCAGAAGCAGTCATGTAGTCTGCTTCTCAGCCCTGCGTGTGCAAGCTGCTGCTAACAATTCTTCCCTCCTTCCTCCTTTACCTGACAGTTTACTTTACACAACAGCATCTCCACTGCTGCAAGTGGACAACATACTGTTTCCTTTAACCTACTGTTACTTCTTAGCATTCTAAGCATCCAGCTTGTGTTCATTTAATCTTTACAATATTCCTATCAGGTCTGCTCTGCATAATTATGACCCTCATTTTTGTAAGAGAAAATACAGACACAGGAAGTCAATCACTAGTGACTGCTACAGGTCATCCAGATAATAAGTGGCAGGACTTGTCTGTGACTCTGGAGTGCTTAACAATCTCTCTAGTCCTTGGAAGCATGTGGCTCATTTAAGTCACAGCAGCAGCAGCTTTTAAATTATTTTTCTTGGGCTAAAAAAGCTCTTGTGAATCCAAAAGGGAAAAAAAGCTTAACCACCAAGGAAAAAGCAGTGATGTTACCCTTAAAAAGTTCACCTGTCCTGGAGTAGGTTAGATTGGCAACAGAAGGCCCACCGTACACCTGCCACTATGAGGAAAATAAGCCCTTCAGCTTGGGAAGCCACTGAATGTCTATTTACACTGTTACAAGAGCGGTAGCTGTTGTAGAGAAAAGATCCCTTACCTGAAATACCCCATGTGGAACTGGGGCTTTTTGTTCCCAATAATAATGGTCTGGAATTCAGGAGGATCATAGTAAAATCGCCAGTGAAGGTTAAAATTCAGGTTTGCTGGTTTTTTCTTCATTTTATGTTTTCCAGCCAGGATATCATAAGGACCCACTAACTGAAGTCCAAGGCTTTCAGAAAGTGAATCTATAAGTAAAGTAAGTTTTAGACAATAACTTTCTCGCAGCAAAGAGAAAATAATGCCGTTCGCTAGTAAACATTTCTCAGTAATTGTCTCAAAGAGTTTCTAACATAAAAGAATCATCAGTTACATGTGAAGATGTTAGCTGTGAACATTCATGAAAGGAAATCAGAGCAGTGATAATATGGCACTGACACGTTTACGAATTCCTCTTAATTTTACCCCTGAAATAGGCTAAACATTCCTGGTTATTTGGGTGAAAGCAAGAGTGTTGTATTCCTTCAGGCACTGTCTTATCACTAGGATATCATGAGCGTCAAATACTTGTAACATACCCTGATTAAGAGAGAGACAAGACAGCAAATGAGTGTGCATTAAGGAAGGTAACATTTAATTAAAAATGTATTTAATGAAAACACTTCCATCCCTTCTCTTTTCCTCAGGTACCTAATTATTATTCTCCATTCCCTTGCTTCCTTGGCAATCTATATTACCAACCTGAATTGTTGATGATTCAATCTTCCTTTTCTATATGCGCATCACAGAGGGAGTATTAAATAAAACCAGAGTCAAACGTACACTTATAAAACATCAGATGAGGGCCTCCCTGGTGGCGCAGCGGTTGAGCGCTGGGTTGCGAAGCTGCCCGCAGCCTCTGCAGCGCCGGTTCGATCCCCGGCTGCTCCCTGGCCACTGGAGGAGGGTCCCACATGGCACGCAGACCTCTCCTGCCACCCGCTGCTCCCCTCAGCAGTGTACTTCGGTCCTTCTGCCTGCTCTGCTCCCCGCTCTGGCTCTGGTGAATTCTCTCACCCTCCTGCGCTTCTGACTGTACCCAGTGCTTGTATAAATGATAAATAAATAAATAAATCTTTAAAAAAAAGAAAACAGGAGTCCTGTAGGAATGTATGGGATGTGAGAGAAAGAAAATTCTTGAAAGTAGTAACAAAGTGAGCTAAAGGTATGGAGACATTAGCCAGAAATAACAAGGTCACTAGTCTGGTATATATTAAAAATACATTTTCCCCCTCTATAGACATGATATATAAATATATAGCTATTTTAAAGGGAGATCATATGGTATTGCAATCTTTCTTGGTCCTCCATCCTGTACTCAAGTTTCCTGGATAATTTTCCATGCTAGTATTTTTTTTTAACATTTTAATAGCATGACACTCCATTATATACGTGTATCTAGTCTACTACTGAGGACATTTACTGTTTCCAATTTTTTTTTTCACTATCCTAAACGATGCTTCAATGAACGTCATGGTTAATCCATGTTTGTTCAGTCATGAGTAGTTGGAAAGATGTTGCTATATGGGTGTTTTGATATCTTGCCAAAAATCACAAGATACCTCCCCAAATACCTTTCCATCAAGTGAAGGTGAGTCCTGCTCCTTACCCCTCACTTATGAGTTCCAACATCTAAACATTACAAAAGGGTGGGAAGTTACCATTCTGTTTCTTGTGTATTTTTTCTGAGCTAGTCTAAGCACACAGAAAGTACACAAAGATGTGTTTCCTTAACTTTTTTAAAAAAATATTAATGGTAGCACATACTCTTTTCTTTCCACTTAAAATCTTTCTGGTATGATTCTTTATCAGTGACTAAAAATTTGCCTCATTCTTTTAAAATAATGAATATCCACTGAATAAATGTATTATGATGGACATGTATATCATTCCCCATTTTTTGTTCCTAAAAATATAGCTAAACATTAACTCTTGGTTCATCTATAATCCATAAGGCCAGTTCTGAGAAGTAGAACTGCTGAGACATACTGAAACTCCTGTAACATATGAAAGTACTTACTTTCCTTCAAACCTCCATTAAAACATGTGATATTGTTTATCTTTCCCAATACATCACAGCATTGATTTATGTTTCTTGTATATGAAACATCTTTGGAAAATTTCCTTTTCTATTAACTATTTGGATTCTGAGTTCAGTTTCCTACTGTCTTTCCACTGGTAGAAGCACAATGATTCTGTAGCAACTTACCAGCTGGCTTTTCAGGGTCAAGTTCTTCACAGAACTTCCAGAAGTGGTAAAAATCTTCAGGCAGGGTAAGCTTATAATGATTTTCTACCTCTTTTCGAAGGTCCCTGGAGATATCAGCTTCACAGGATTTACTCTTCTTCACATCAACTGCCTTTTCAACCTGAAAATTGATACATAAAACTTTGGTTCTCCAAAAGTAATTCCAATTAAGTTTCCCTGCATAATATCGGTCATTTCCGTTCACTCACCACTAAACAATGTTTTCTTTAACACTCTGTCAGTGGTATTTCTAAATAAAACCTGGGGATTCTTTTGGACAAAAGAAAGACAGCTTTCAATATATAGTGGCCAAGAGGGACCCACAATGCAAGTCTTCAAATATATTTCTCTAAGATAACAGAAACACAAGAGACAAAAAAAAAAAAAAAAAAAAAAAAAAAAAAAAAAATTCAAAATAAAAGGTAAAGAGTTGAAAAAGAGGGATAATGAAAAGGCAAGCTTTGCCCTCTTCTGGTGAACAAGATGTCATCATGCCTTTTGTTTAAGTCAGTTCAGTGATCACACCAGAAGCAAGCTGTCAGAAATAACTGGATATAGTGGGATTACCAGTTTGCTGGTTAGTTTCTCCAGCAAAGCCCAACCAGAACTGTGCTTGGGCTACTCACAATTACTCAGACTTCAACTTAAAAATACCTACCTTTTGATATTCCGGATAAAAAGAGTTTACAAAGTTAAGCATCAACAGTCCCTAACAAAGCTAGCAAAATAGCACTAAACTCTGACTCAACAATCCAATTATTTAACATTTAGTCATGTTAGAATACCCTTTTGGTTGTCACAAACAGGGTTGGGGGTGTGTACTACTGGACTTTAGTGAGGTGGAAGCCAGGGATTCTGTTAAATATCCCACCATGCACAGGACAACTCCTTAATAAAGACTTACTTGGCCCAAAATATCAAAAGCACAAGACTGAGCCAGATATTTCTCATACTCATATTCTTATTTTCCAATAGGTTTAAGTTATTGATGTGACTATGCATCAAAGTCTACAAAATGTATTTAGAAATCAGATGATACAGAGTGTTCTTGATAGCAGTGTCTAGTCTATAAGCACAAGCTAGAACAAATGAAATGCCTACTGACAGGAGAATGGGTAGTTACTGGACTTTCAAACAATGATTATACTTCTGAAAAAGGAAAGATACTTATACACAATATGCATTTGTCTTAAGAAAATAATGAAGAGAAAAAAAGTTCTTGAAGATTATATGTAGCAAGATAGCCTTTTTATGAAGTTCCAAAACAAGTAAATACAGTTTACCCATACTCACAGGTGATAAGGGCCACAAAAAAGCCAGGGAAACAAAATTCAGTATGGTACCTACAGTGAATGTGAGTGACAAGAGGAAGTTAGAAAGGCCAGGGAGGAACACATAGGTTGATGTAAAACTGTGTTACCAGTGCCTCAGTGCTGGGGCTGGGTAATAGTTCTTGTTATATAGTATTAAACAAATAAGGTCAAAGAGGATCATGCACTGACTAATGGTAACAGTTTATTATGCCAAAGACTATATGCCAAGGATTATAATGTATCTGAGGTCCTAAAAATAAATTCAACAAGTCTATTGAAATATGGGTCCAAAAATGTATGTTAAAAACAGTAAAGAGTAATGGTAGGCAATATAGTAATACTGAGCACTTACTATCTGCAAAGTCACTGTATTAAGCACTTCCTATCATTAAAATAATTTAATTCTCACAACGACCTTATGAACTAGATACTATTATCCACATTTTACAGGTGAGAAAACTTAAGTTAACTTCTTGTAGGTCCTTAACTAGAAAGCAGAAGGAAAGGGATTTAAACTCAAGGGGACTGGGTCCTGAGCACAGATTCAACCACTTCATGCTGCTTCTCCAACTACAAATATGTACCAGTAGAAACCTTTCGGGTCCTAACCTATCAGTCCTCTCTTCTGTTTTTATAACCATCTTGGGTTAGTTGTTGAAAGCAGCTCAAACTCAAGATGTTTGCAAGAAAAGTCTTCTTGCTGAAAGGCAGTTTTGCATAATTATTAGGCTGCCTGGATTGGCTACTGACCGATTCCAGCGCTGACACCTGGGGCAAATTACTTAACCCTCTGAACCTGTTTTCTTATTTGCAAAACCTGGTATGTAGTACCTATAAGGATGTTATGAAGATTAAGTTATTTCTAAAAATAAACAGAAAGTCCTAGCACATCATACACACAGACGCCCTAATTGTTAGCTTTAGTCACTACAGGCTTATCTTCCTTTTTGTTATTGTAGTTCACTGCTCTACCTAAGGGTAAGTTTTTTAACCCTGCCTTACTTCACACCTGTTCAGCACCCCCAAAAACTAGAATTTAGAGCAGCTGTCTCCCTTAGAGGCTGTACATATCCTCTCTCCCTGTGTTCCTTGAAAGCATACCCAGTAGAAAAAATGCTCAGAACCAGGACCTTGTAAGTTAACTAAAACCTCCAACACCGTGTCACTCCATCCTTTAAAATGCAGCCAGAGTAATTTGTCTACAACTTCATTAATCACAATGCTAGTTTACGAGTTTCAGATCTTCTGAAAACCATATAAAAGCATTAAAAATGCATTTACTTTTTGCACTCCATTGTGGTGTCTTTATGATCAAGCTCCTCTTACTTTCCCATTTCCCAAGCTCCAGGCAGGTCGAACTCTCCCCTGCAATATGTGCTTCCTATGGCTCGGGATTCCTTACTCACGTTTCAGCCTTCAAGAACCATTGCAAACTGTTGCGTTCCCCTAAAATACTTCCTTAACATCTGCCTGGGTCTTATTAAACCCTCCACCAGTGTTTCCACGGCACTTACTACACATCAGCCACATAATGCCAAACAGAAGTTACATTAAAATGTTTACTCCGGGGCCTCCCTGGTGGCGCAAAGAGTTAAGCACTGAACTATGAAGCAGTCCGCAGCCTCTGCAACACGAGTTCGATCCCCCGGCAGGCCAGGGAGCAACCCACATGGCGCAGCAGACCTCTCCTGACTCCCCCACTGCTCCCCTCAGCAGGGTATTTCAGTCAGTCTGCCTGTTCTGGTGAATCCTCTCACCCCCACCTCTGGCCTGTACCCCAGCTCTTGCATGCATAAATAAATAAACCTTTTTAAAAAAATGTTTATTCCCGTAGACTCCGCCTCCCCAGGCTGGGGCTCTAGGCTGGGCAGGGGCGGCCGCGTTCCGTGCCCGCCCTCCAATCATTCTGGCTGGTGAGCCACGCCCGGAGGCGGGCAGGGCATGATGCAAAGGGCCGCTCCCCGGGAACAAACCCCCGCCGGGCGGGAAGCAGCGGCCCTGGCCGGGGTCCCCCGAGCAGCCCGCCGACCCGGGCACACCGCAGGCGCGCCGAGGCAACAGAACGAGCGCAGAAGGCTGGATTTTCGAGCCCGGGCTATCACCTAAACACTCCGTGGAGCCCGCACAGCCTCTGCGGCAGTACCTGCTGCCCCTCCCCGCCGGGCCTGCGCTTCCCGCCGCCGCCGACCATCCTGCAGCCGCAGCCCGCGAGGACTCCCGCGTCCCGCCGCCGCTTCCGGGCGCCGCCGACTGCTTCCGGGTCGAGGAGCCACCAATCGGAAAGCCCGCGAGGTCGGGCAGCGCGCGTTTAAGGGGAAGACCACGCCCACGTCCCGCCCCCTGACGCCGAGCGGGGCGTGGCATTGAGGCTCCGCCCCTGGGCGGGGCGGCGGGGCGGGGCGGGGCGGGGGCGGGGGCGGGGGGCCTAGTCCTCGCTCCCACGTTGTCTGCAACCTGTGCAGCTCCAGGCACGTGAGGAAGGTCGGGCCTTCCTCCTCAGGTGTTGTCCTGGCAAAACTGGATGTATGGTGCCTCTCTCAGCCCAGCCCCTGCCTTGTTTTTCCTTCATTTATATTTATTTGAATGATTACTCTTTTTCTTTCTGTCTTTTCTTATTACTTGACTCCAGTCCATCCTTAATTATCTCCCAGAAGTAAATCAATTTTTTTCTCGCTCCTTCTTTGTCTAGTCTTGTTATATAATTTGACTGTTTGGTCTTGTGGGCTTAAGTAGATGGAGGTAAGTAAGAAGTGAATTTATTAAAGAATTAAGACTGAGGGCTCGAGCCCAGGAACAGTCTCCAGATAGTGCGGGGCAAATTGTTTAAATTTGGAATATCATAATAAGGATTTTGTACAGTTTTTAAGGAGAACATTTTACATTTTAAAGGATTTTTACAGAAAAAGCCCGGGAGGTGTCTGGTTAACCCACCCATTTGATGTTATCTAGGCATTGGGGACAATAAGGAGGGTTGTTTAAATATACCCTATTTAGAGCCTTGTCTTCTAGGAATTGGAAGGTTTAGCAATGTCATGAGACTTAGAGTCTGTTTTTCTTTGAAGTTACTGATTTGCCGTGACACAGCTTTTTAGATGTTGTTCACTGGGCCAGTCCCCCTGGACCTTGGCTCATTGGCTTGCACCCATTGGTTGTGGTCATGGAGAGGAGTATCCTCTTAATTGTTAACATTGGTCAAAATTATTCTCACATTAACATTTGGATGTTTTATTGGATTCTGTTGATAATCCATAAAATGTAGTAGAACATTAGCACCCTAAGAACTTGCTAAAAATGCCGATTCTCAGACCCCACCCAGACTTACTGAATCAGAATCTGCATCCCTTCTGCAGCTCAAAGTTGAGAGGCACTGCATTCAACTGATGTCCTGGTTCTCCCTCACTGCCCATTTGGGAATAGGCTATGCCTCATTCCCAAGATGGAGTCTCTATTTCTTCAATTGCCTCCTTTTTTTCTTGATTTTACACTCTCCTTTTTGCTGCACCTCCCCCTGCAGTGACCTTTAGGGCTAACCGTCCCTAGGTCTGGCTGGGCAACCAGCAGGCAGGGGGAGAACAGCAAAACCCTCTGAAGACATACCTGCTGCACCTCCCCCTGCAGTGACCTTTAGGAGTGGCTTTCGCCACGGTCCCTAGGTCCGGCAGGGGAGAACAGCAAAACACCCTGAAGCAGGGGAAGTACAGCGAAGTTCCCTGAAAAGACAGAAGCTTATCAAAAAATAACGATCACCAGGAACCACTACAAGAATGCTAAAAAACCTTATCCCGTCTTTCTAGAACTTTAATCCCTTATTGTCTTTCTAAACTTCCTTCTTTCTTCTATAAAGGTCATTGCTTGTTAATTAAAAAATCATATGAAATCCTTAAAACAAGGCTGACTCAAATGAAACATTACTAAACCCTGTAATAATTAAAATATAGTATAGGTAAAAAGTAGTTAATAAAAAATACGATTATATAGTTTAAAAACAAAACTAATGGTCTATCTACTTAGGAATGAGGCTGAGTCCAGATGTAGATCACCGCCCTGTTGGTGATAGGCTGAGCCCATGAGCAAGCTGATTTCATTGATATTCATTGTTCCTGTGCTTTTGGAAAACATATATATACTGGTCACAAACTCAAAGAAAATTACACTCAGATTTGCCGCGGACCAGCACAGCAGTAGACGATGAGGCCGTCTCAGGGTTGAGAGACTGCGCAGGGTGGTCAGGGATTCGGTTAAAGAAATGACAAACAGACACACTTCAAGAGAGAGTGTAAATCTGAGTGTTCTTTATTTTTGTTAGTGGTCAGTATATATATGTTTTTTCTAAAGGCATAGGATTGGTAAACATCAAAGAAATCAGTTTGTTCATAGGTTTAGCTTATCATTGACAGGGCAGTGATTTATGTCCAAAATACATCTGGACCTAGCTGCATTCCTAAGTAGACAGGTTATTAACTCTTTCTATATTCTTGTACTAATTACTACTACTATTACCTACTTATGTTTACTCATAATTAATTGTCATAGGTAAATTTATATTATAATGTAGTTAATATCAAAGGTACTAAAGTTAAGCACATAATAGAAAGATTATTAAACTACAATTCTATTATAACACAGTGTTTAGTAATGTTTCATTTGCATTAGCCTAATTATTAAATTACGTATGCTTTTTAATTAGCAATCAATGACCAGAAAAAGGAAAGATTTTAGAGACAGTTGTAGCAGAATAAAGTTTATGGGCCTTGAGAAAGCGAGATAAGGTTCCAGGTGGTCAGCATTTCTTTTAATCATCTTTGTGGCAGCTTCTGGTGGTCGTTATCTCTTGGCAGGCATTCGGCTTCTCTGCATCTTAGGGAGTTTGCTGTTCTCCCCCTGCGCGCATGGTTCCTTGCCCATGCCGGACCTCAGGGACCATGGCAACAGCCATTAGCCCTGAGGGTCACTGCAGGGGGAGGTGCAGCACAGATTTTCACTCTTGAAATGTGTCTGTCATTTCTTTCACCGACGCCCTGACCACCCTGCACGCTTCTCTCAACCCTGAGGTGGCCTCATCGTCTACTGCTGTGCTGGTCCGCGGCACCTTTCGAGGAATTGTCCTCCAATGTTTTTTTAAGGAGCATTTTAGTTAGTCTTGAAACTTTTTATTTTGGCTGATCATGGAATCCTAGTTGGAAAATACTTTTCACTCACTATTTTAGAGGGCTCGCTGTACAGTATTTTAGCTCCTGCTATGGTTGTTGAAAATTCCTATGTCATGATAAGCCCTGTGCCTTTATAGGAGAGTCGTTAACACGCAATCTGCTTTTATTTCAGTTTTGTTTCATTTCATAAACTTTTAGATCTTCTCTTTCTTCCCAGTGGAACAATCGGGTTGTTTTCAGACCTCACTTCTGAAAATACAGAGGTTGCAATTTTCTCTGGGGTGTTCTAGCTATGCTAGTCAACCTGTTTACCAACATATGAGTTTCCTAGGGCTGCTGTAAGAATTGACCACTTGGCTTTTCCATGTATTTCTCCAAATCTCTGTTTGCATACACTTGATATATATACCTCCTGTGTGCCTGTGTCCTGATTTCCCTCGTAAGGATAACTGTCATTACAGTAAGGCCCACCCTAATCCAGTATGACCTTATTTCATTTGGACCACATTTGGACACATCCTGTTTCTAGAGAAGGTCACATTCAATGTGTCTTATGGGGGATAAAACTTAACACACATCTGTCAGCTTCTAAATTTCTATGGGTTGTTTCATCTCCAATTCTCTTTATTTTTTGTTGGTCTATTTTCCCTTCTCTCTCTTTCTTTTCTTTCTTTTGTTTTCAGTGAGGCATCATAAAGAATGAAAGAAAGTGGGTATTTTCAATATGCTGCGTTAACTGGACAAATTATTACTGCTATTTTTCAGTTGAATTGTACCAGATTGGTAATTGAAATTTGTTAAATCCACTTACTATGAATACTTTAAAGTTCACAACTAAAATTTTGCTCTGAAGAATAGTCCATATAATTTTGTAGCTATTTTTTATATAATATGAATGAAATTTCAATTTAAGTCAACATTGATATTTAATGCTTTATCATTCTCCCAAAGTACCTGTACTTGTTAGTAATTACTTTCCACTCTCTGCTGTCCCAGCCTTTACATTCCATTTCTATAGATTTGCTTACTTGGAGCATTTCATGTATGTGGAACCATAAATATGTGTATTTGTGTGGCTAGCTTTTTTCTCTTACTATGTTTTCAAGGCTTACCAGGTTGTAGCATATATCAGTGATTTATTCCTTTTATGTCTGAATAATAATCCATTGTATGGACATTAGAATTTCTATGTATTCTTTTAAAAAGCAAATGTTTCTAGTATTCATTTAGCTTTAAACTCCTGGTCAAAAGAAATTTTTTAAATTATCTAATTTTTAATTGAGATAAAGGCTATTTATGATCTGTATGATTTAAGATTATGGGTTCACAACTCTCCAAGTGTATGTTACCATCATCACACCCACCACCAAAGCACAAATAACCTGCCACCATACTGGAGGGTTTCCCCCTCCCCCTCAGTTCTGCAGTCAGATTTCTAGGGTTTGTTGTGGTTTATTTTGTCTATTCCTCTGCTTTGTTTCTATTTATTCCACATATGAGTGAAATCACAAGCAGAAATTTTTAAAAGGAGTAATTTTTTTTACAATTTTTGCAGGTTTTCAAGACCACAGATATCATTTCCAGCTTCCTGATAAACATTTCTTTTTGCATGGTTATGAGAGTTGCTGCAAATTAAAAATTAAGATGCCACTTAGGGTTCAGGCCTTGGGGTGTAACCAGACTCTTAGCACTGAAATAGTATTTAGGGCATGAGAAGCACATAAAGGGTCACATGTGTAAGGAATTATAGCCTTAGGCAGCCATCATAAAAGACAGAATGGTGTAAGCCTTTCATCCCTGCAATCAGGCAGTGAAGACCTCCTGTGACTAAGGCCATTGCCCACCTGGAAGGACAAATCAGTTTTGAGAAGGCCCAGAGCCCCTAGGGCATTCGGATTCCCTAGCCAACCCTATAAAAAGGACTCCTTTAAGGGACTATTGATTTTGAGAGACCTAATTAGGGAAATCCAAGTGGTTGTGTTAAACCTAGAGGCAGTGGAGTGGTGGGAAGGGTCAATTTTTATTTAAATTTCCTATTAAAAAGTTAGAAGATGTTTCAGACAGCTGAGCCTAGGTGGTAGCTATATAGTTGGGTAGCAGATGAACTGTGAATTTAATCTTTGACACCACAACTGATCCTATCTGTGACCATTTGACCCTGACAAACTACCCAGCTACATAGTGACCAGCTATGCTCTGTCTACCCAATTATGCTTAGTCTAGACCAGTAGCCTTGGGACCTATACATGTAGCCTTTAGTTAGCACTAGCTGAATGCTCAAAATGCATCTTAAAAAGACTTCAACGTTTCCCAAATCTTCACATTTACATTAGATGAAAAGTCCAGCATATTCACCAATTTACTTTTTTTTCCTATCACAATTTCTTGGAATATAGCTTCAAGCACAGACTGCCACATAATGGGTGCTTGAGAAATATTAATGGATTGACTAATTACCATTAGTGAATAGCAGTTACTGTCATTAAATAGTTACTCATCCTCCATCCATTCAATCACTTATTCATTTGAAACATTTATTAAGTGCCAGTAATGTATCAGAATTATGTTAGGCACTGGAGAGGCCAAGATGATGCAGTTGCTATGATGCAGGAGCTCAGAGCCTGCTGAGGAGTCTTGTAAGTCCAGTGCAGTCAGCATTCTCATTGTTTACCTACTGGAGGTGGGAGGATTCTGCAAGTATCACATTCTAATCTTTCAGACACATTGCTCTACAGCAGTCGCCTTTGTAAAAGAATCACTTACATTATTCTTTTACTATCACACAGTTGAAGAGACTTAAAATTGTGAGCAAGTACTGTTATTACCAGGAAATAACATAAGACAAAAGGTTGAGTGGAGCAAGCTCAGCTGATAAAAGGAGTTTATGAGGTTATTGTTATAGGGACCATCAAAAGCAACAGCCAAGGGCCTCCTTGGTGGTGCAGGCGGTTGCGTGCAGTGCTGTGAAGCTGTCTGCAGCCTCTGCAGCACAGGCTCAATTCCTGGCTGGCCAGGGAGATTCTCACATGGCTCAATTCCTGGCTGGCCAGGGAGATTCCCACATAGCGCGGCCTACCTCCCCTGTCTTGCCTGCTTCTACCCTCAGCAGTGTATTTCAGTAGATCTGCCTGTTCTGCTCCCCACTCTGTCTCTGGTGAATCCTCTCACCCTCATGCACATATGGCCTGTACCCCGGTTCTTGTATAAATAAATCTTTTTTTTAAAAAAAGCAACAACCAAGATCAAGAATGGGGAAAGCAGCCAATAATATGTGAGATAGGATCACGAGGAGCAGTTACTATAACAGGGTGGTCCCCAGGAAAGGGGGCTGTTCCAGGTTTCCTGCCCCACCCAAAGGAGGGTGGAGCTGAGCAGAGAGAGAAGAAGCTACAGAGGAGACTGAGGAAGGAAGGAAGCAGGATGGAGACCTGGAGGAGGCACACGGAGCAGAGAGACACATGAAGAGACTGCGCTTGCCTTTTGGTCATGGACTGGTTGACACAGATGTGGGTGAGACTCATGGGGAGGTGACAGTGGCAGTTTTTGTCTTGATTTTGGTTTTGCTCTTTTCCTCCCAGAATTGTCTGGCTGTTTCTGATCCTTTTCTGTGGGTCCCCACTGGAAGATGCTTGAGACTTGTGGCAGGCTTTGGGGCCTTGCTCCGGGCCAATCCTGCTTGGGTGGACTTTTACCCACGAGGGGAGGGGTAACTTTGGGTGCTTGATTTAGAAATTATATTCTTTGCCTTTCCTGTATTGTTTACTAATTGTATTAAAGTTCCTTCCCATTAAAGTCTCATATGTTTTGTGTTGATGCGGCGGATGGCAGAATCTATTTAGAGCAGGCAGGTTTGCAGGGTCTGGGCTGCCCCTCTCCCTGCCCTGTAACACTACCAGAGGGCTTCTACTGAATTTTGCTGAGTAGTATCTTGTCTAAAGTTATTCTCCTCACGCTTCAAGTTAATTTTTTGATTTATGAATAAAAAGTTATACTACACAATAATTTTAGAAAAATTGAATAGTATGGAAAAGAGTCACATTATGTACCAAAACAAAACAAACAAGAAATGGAAGATGAATTACCATATCACACCACCTAGAAGCAACTTCAACTAATATTTAGCATGTTAGTATTTTTCTACATTCCTTACATGTTTTTACACAATAGAGATAATGCTGCACATAAAGTTTTATAACTTGCTTCATAAAAAGCTTTTTACCAAACATAGTTAAATTGCTTCATAAACTTTTCAGTGGCTTACCATAATAAAAATGCCATTGGACTCATTGAATAATGTAATAAACTATTCTCCTAATTATTTCTCCTAGAAAATTTTCCTAATTTTTCATTGCTGTAAATAACTCTATGGTCAACATCTTTAAAAAAATATTTTAAGAAGGATAGGTTTATTACAAAAAGGAGAAAGAGGCATCAGCATAGTCACAGGCGGACAGGAGAGTTGCCTGGTCAACATCTTTATACTTTAAAAAATATTTTAAATTAGTTTGGAATGTCATTTTTGTATGGATCATGAGAAGAATCTCTGGATCCAAAGACAGGAAAAACTTAGTTTGGTAGCCTGTATTGCCATATTGTTTTCTAAATAAGGCAGTTAGAAATTGGAACAAAAAAAATGTTTCACCAATTAGAGATAGTATATTTTTATTTATTTTTTTTCAAGATTTATTTTTATTTATGCATACAAGAACTGGGGTGTAGGCCAGAGGCGCAGGGGTTGGGGGGGGGTTGAGAGGATTCACCAGAGACAGAGTGGGGAGCAGAACAGGTGGATCTGCTGAAATACACTGCTGAGGGGAGCAGCAGGCTAGACAGGAGAGGTCTGCTGCACCAGGGGACCTGGCCAGCGATGGAACTCAGGCCATAGTGGCTGGTGATAGCTTGATAGAGCTGAGACTTTAACCTGCACATCACCAGGGAGGCCCAGAAGCAGTATATTTTTAACTGCTTAGAGAATTTTTATTACAAATCATCTTTGCCAATTGTTTTGCCTATCTTCTGAAATTGAACAAAAGAGATGGCTCTTCACCGGGAGTTGTGCCCACTTCCGAAGCAGGAGGCACAAATTCATGTGAGATTGTCTACTTTCTCTTCCCCTGCTGGCTGGATAAAGAGGGCTCCACAACCCCAGGGGAATAACAGCCCACCATACACCACACGGAGGAAAGCCACCTGACAGGAACAGCTTGAATTGATTTGACAGGTTTATGGGCAAGGCATAAACTTGTATTATTTTAACCCATCGAAATGCCATAGATTTGTTCCAGTGGCTAGCATTGTCCTCTCTTATATAGTAGATACCACATACAAGCTATCCAGATGTAGATGGCATAAGTGCTCCTTTTTTTTTTTTTTAATCTGAAGAAGCCATACATATGTCACAAAGAACATTAATCATGTGTCATTTAAAAATTAAGGAAAAGGGCCTCCCTCGTGGTACAAGGGGTTAAGATGCAAACTATGAAGCTATCTGCAGCCTCTGCAGCACAAGTTCGATCCCCAGCTGGCCAGCGGGCAACCCACAGGGCACCGGCAGACCTCCTCTGTCTCTCCTGCTGCTCCCCTCAGCAGTGTATTTCAGTCAGGCTGCCTGTTCTGTTCTCCGCTCTGTCTCTGGTGAATCCTCTCACCCCCACACCTCGGCCTGTTCTTGTATGCATAAATAAATAAATCTTTAAAAAAAATAAGGGAAAAATTGATGTTCAGTATCTACCACATTTGCATCCATCCTTTCTAACAGAATCCAAAATACAGGTGAGTCCATTGAGGTGTGGGGGTGGCTGTAATGAAGAGAGGGCTGTCCAACCTGAATCCAAGCAGCAAGTTCAGGGGCTTGAGGTGGGGGAGAGATTCTTGGAGAATGTTCGCCGGGCGCGAGCTAAGTCTCCATCTTCGGAAAACCAGCGGATTTCGGAAAATGGGTCTCAGGGCCAAGGCCCTCGCTCCCGGGAGCGCATGCGCGAGGCTCTTGGTTTCGCGGCCTCCGCCGCCATTTTGCGTTCGCGTCCGTCGCGGTGAATGTGGGAGGCGCTCCCCATGCAACCCCCAAGGTAAGGGGTTCCAAGACTTTCCGGGTCGGGGAACACTTCCACACTGCCAGAGGGTGCTGAGCCCCACTCCGGGGGAGAAGCTCCAGCCCGTGGGGCCTCCCAGACGTGGCTCGACGTGTCTCTTCATCTGGACTTTGACAAGCTGGTGGAGGCGAGTGTTTCCCGGAGTTCTGTGAGCGGTTGTGGCAAAGAACCCTAACCCGGGGGCGGCTCTGGAGAACCTCAGCGTTATAGCCAGTCAGTCGCCGCGGACAGCCTGGCTTGCGATTGGCAGCCGTTTGAGACGGAGCCCGTCACCTGTGGAAAACCGTGCTGTGTCCAGGTGGCGCGTGTCAGGACTGAGCTGCTTTGCAGCACACCTGGAGAATTGCAGTTGGGGGGAAACCTTCATAATCTGCTGGAGAGAGAGGGAGAGACAGACAGAGAGACAGACAGACGAACAGGAGGGAAGGCTGGGCGTTTTCCCATCTAGCTAGACCATGGATTCATCTCCCCCTTTCTCTTTTTTTCTTTCTTTCCTTTTCTTCTTTCGTTTTATTTATGCATAAAAGAACTGGGGTACAGGCAAGAGGTGTGTGGGGTGAGAGGATTCACCAGAGACAGAGTGGGGAACAGAACAGGCAGACTGACTGAAATAGACTGCTGAGGGGAGCAGTGGGCGAGTCAGGAGAGGTCTGCTGCGCCATGTGGGTAGCTCCCTGGCTGGTTGGGGGATCGAACTCGTGCTGCATCGTAATCCCTTGTGCCACCAGGGGAGCCCCTCATCTCCCCTTTCTTGATGACAAGATTCTAGCAGCTGTGGAGTTGGTGGATCCACATTAACCTCCTATCAAATTTAACCACATCTTTCTCTTCCAAAAAGACATTTTCTTGTTTTTATTCAGTATGAATAGTCTGAGAATTTTCCATGTGTTTACATTCCGCTCTCTGTCGATGTGCTGTTCCTGTTAAAAGTGCTGTTTCTCATGTTTCACTCTATGCCTTCACAGGAATCAGGCCGGATCTTTCAACATTTTGATTAGATGGTTCCTTCGCCAAATACCCAGTTCCATCATTTGAAAATTCTACGTTGCACAAAGCACTAGATAGAACATGAGCATAATTTAGTCAAGTTCTTTGCCACTGTAGAACAAGGATGGCATTTCTTCCATTGGCCAGTAATACACGTTTCTTATTTCTATCTGTCACCGCATCAGAATGGCCTTTATTCATATGTCTATCAAAACCCCGTGCAGGATTGCTTACATATTCTCTCACAAGACCAGGCTTTCTCTCCTCAGCTTTGCTTTTTGCCTGGACTCTCACCAGAATCGCCCTCAGTGTTCTGTTTATGGCAGTGTGGACTTTTTCTAGCTTGCATCTCAAAATTCTTGCGATCTCTATCCTTTAGCCGGTTGCAAAGCTGTTTTCACGTTTTTTATGTATTTGATACAGCAGCACCCACTCTCGATTCCAGTTTCTGACTTAACCTATTAGGATGGCTATAACAGAGTACCACAGAACAGGTAGCAGGTGAACAACAGAATTTTATTTCTCACAGTTCTGCAGTCTGGAATATCCAAGACCAAGGTAGATTTGGTCTAGTGAGAAGCCCCTTCCTAGTTCACTGTCTGCTCTGTGTTTCAGAATCCCATTGGGGTTTCATTTTAAGGGCACTAACTCCATTCATGAAGGCTCTGCCCTCAAGACTTTATCACCTCTCAAAGACCCCCTTTTCTCATACCATCATATTGGGCATTATGAAAACATAGGAATTCAGAACTGTGCATAATCATTCAATCTATAGCAAATTATTTCTAGATAAATGGAAATTTTTTTTTTTTTTCATTGAGCATTTGGGAAATTTGAGCCATGGAAATGGCTGGTTTTCTTTTCTTTTTTTTAGGGAATAGTTGTTTTCTCACTGCTGACATGACTCCTAAATTCTAGGCCCTTCCCTTTGGTAAACTACCACCACAAAGTTGATGAAAACGGCTTTGAAGTTGTTTGCAAATTAAAGAGGTAAACCCTATTCCTTCTTTCTTTAGGCTTTATTTTCTCTTTCTAAGGAAATATGTATTTTCCTTGGGTTTATTCCTAGGGCTCTTAAACTCAAGGCATATTGTCATGACTACAGCTACAGCAAAACTGCTTCTTTATATGCTTTTGTGTTTAGATCAGGGAATATTTGTTGGATTAAATTAGCCACAGGAGGGCTCCATTGCAGTTTCTGGGGGAAAAAATCTGCCATTGTACTTTTCCGGGTACACAGTTCAGTGGGTTACACCTATTTAGAAGGTGAAATTAGAAGGCAGGGCACATAACTCAGGTACATTTAGAATGTTTACTTAAAAATTCCAGATAATTTTGTGGAAACCTAAAGTATATCTCTGTGGGAAACGGCATAAAAATGAGACTTGAAACGATAAGCTCTGATTTATTGATTTTATGTTTATCTTAAGCATTTTAAAATTCACAGCAACAATATGTATTTGGGATATACAATATGTAGGTATCTAATGCACAATATAAGCAGTTCTAGTTATGCATTATCCATTATTTTTCTGTCAACACCAAAGACTTTTATTATCCAGTGTGAGAAGCCAGATGCTGCATGTCTCCACCCCACCATCTATATCTGTTCTTCTGAACATGCATCTGCAGGATGATAAAGAACACAAGAAGAAAAGTAGGAGAACTTCTAGGTGAAACAAAAAGGAATGCAGTCTTTTCCACAGGACTTAGCAGCACCTCATATGAATCTCCTTGAGAGGCATTTCAGGCACATTTGCTGCTCTATTTTTTGGCACTAAAGCAAGGTTTTAAAAGTTACTATATCAAAGAGGGAAGGAGGGAGGATTAGAAAGAGAGATGCCTAAAAAAAGAATCCCAAATGTGAGACCACACTGAGAAATAATGAAAACTATATGGAAAATAGAAAATATACTCTCCCTGATGCTATTTGAATTTCCTCCTGTACCTTACTCCTAGGAAGAGTCATACCAGTCCCTATAGGAATTACGACAGGGTCAGATCCAGCGACAATCTGGACACTAGTGTTTTGAAGTTTTATCTCATTCTCCTGCAGCTCTCAGTGGTTATACTTAGTATTTTGTTTTTCTTGTTAATTTGGAAAGAAACACTAGTAGCTAAGGAATCTAATAAACACATTCTCATTGATGTATGTGAGGTCAGTGTTGAGGGAGAAATGGTCCTGGAGGAGAGATGAAGGACCAGCACTTTGAGTTTTGAAGATAAATCACTAACCCTTGTCATTTTATAAGGACATCACTCTATAAATCACCAAACAGCAATAGGTAATATGCATTTTTTTTTTTTAAATAAGAAGGCATCTTTGTGTCTAAATGGCAGTTTGTTATCACACTTGCTGAGAAGCCATACATGATCATAAATGGTTGTCTTTGTCTGAGGTGATAAATTGGATTTTCTCACTTTTGATACATCTAACCTCTAGGCAGTGTCTCTATTTTGTTCCTTCGAGTGATTCTATTGACTATTCTTTCTTTTGTCACATGTCTCCTCCGACATGCTCCCACCACTATACACACCAAGCTGCCCGCCCTACTGGGGACTTTTGACTGGCATTTTTATTTATCTGGGTTATGGAAGCAGAGCAGCAAGGGTGAGTTTCTCAGGTACCTGAATATAGGATGGTTGAAATAGTCTCTTTTTGTAGGAATTGTCAAATCAAATTCTGCTGTTATATTAAAGAGGTGAAATAAGCACAGGCTTGAACTCAAGAAAAACGTGTGGTTAGCATGAGGGAGGGAGGTGAACACAAATGGGAGAAGTAGCTACCAGAGATGCTCCTCCTTTCAAGGTTTTTTTTTTTTATAATTTTTAAAATAAATTTATTTATTTATGCATACAAAAGCTGTGCCACAGGCCAGAGATGCAGGGGGTGAGAGGATTCACCAGAGACAGAGTGGGGAGTAGAACAGGCAGACTGACTGAAATACACTGCTGAGGGGAGCAGCGGGCAAGTCAGGAGAGGTCTGCTGCGCCATGTGGGTTGCTCCCTGGCCGGCTGGGGATCAAACTCATGCTGCAGAGGCTGTGAACAGCTTCATAGGTTGTGTCTTAACCCATTGCGCCACCAGGGAGGCCCCTATTTTGCAAGATTATTGTAGGAATCAAGTAATGATTTGCAAAAGAAGCATCCTGTTAAACTATATTAGTTTTATTACAAGGTTTCATATTTCAAATTCGAACCCCACTTCTTAGTAAGGTCTTCTCCAATAATCCGTGTGAAAAAGCATAGTTTCTTTTGCTAGTTTCTTATACAATTACTGTTTTCAGAGCCCTACGGCCATAGTATGTACAGTATTCTAGTCATTTGTCTTCATGTACTCGCATCTGAATCAGAGGGAAAATTTCTGGATGGTAGGGAGTGTGTCTTTTGCTTTTTCTAGCATAGTGTCCTATATACAGCAGATATCCCATAAACTTATTAAATCAAAAGATCAAATGGATATTTTAATGAATTGACTTAGTGAATCAATGACTTAAGTGTTCAAAAGCCAGTTTTACAACTCTTAATTCATTATTCATATAGAAGGCATGAAAATGTCTGGTAGAGTGAAGAGAAATTTTGGAGAATTCAATTCTTGGGGATCCAGAGGCACCTCAGTGAGAGGGTGCCTGGGTGTGACAGTAGAAGAACAGAAGAGAAAAGCAAAAACCTTTACTTTGTCAATCCTTAGCTGAAAGAGACCACTCTGAATTTTCATGAAGTTTGAAATTTTTAACATCTGACACCAGACCGGACATATTCATCAATGAATCAAGACTACATTTTCATGTCTTGACATCGTGGAAGACTTTTTTTGTTATCTGAGAGTGACTAAGAGTTTTGATCTAAATGCAAGAGGAATCTCTTGTTGAATGGATATCAATGATCAAGTGAAAACTAAGGTGGTTTTCTGACTTCACCCCAGGAGTCCCACTGCTAAAGGCAAGGATTTTGCGAGTCTGACGCAGTGTCAATATTGAGTTATTGA